ACAGGCTCCAATCTTTTGAAAGTGCACGCTACTGACATAGACGAGAGTGGAACACTAAACTCAACCTTCCACTATGAAATCAAATCTGTGTCTCCAATTGTTAGAGACACTGAATTCTTCGTTGATGAGTCTGGATACATCTCATTCAAAGGATGTTTAAATCATGAAGTAAGAGACTCTTTTCTTGATATGTCAGGAGTACGAAACATTTTAAAGATGAGTAAGGAGAACGATTTGGCTAGTTCTTTACTTGAGTAAGTAAAACTTACGGAGCTATTTATGCAGATGCGCATGCTCACTTTGAGCAGCAACAGATTCTTTGCAAATATCACAAAGGTTACAAATGTTTCCTTATTATAAAAAAAACCCATTCGTGTAATACAAAAAAACACCCGTAAGCTTTGTGCATAATGGTCTAACTACTGTAGGAGCCACTGTCTAGGATACACTATGATCTGTGTATCCTATGAATACATTGTTATGCTATTAGCCTATTAATGTAAAACTCTCCATTTGCTTTTGTTAAGGTGGCTGAGAAGTTTACATTAACGGTGGAGGCCAAAGACCACGGTGAAGTAGTCAGCCTGTCCAGCTCAACCACTGTTGTAATTCATGTACGGGATGGCAACAACCACCTTCCAGTCATCAGCGGTCAAACGGTAGGCAGTCAGTTGGTGTTGCAAACTCCAAACAGCACCAGTTTCAGGAGTTTCACACCTGTAACCTGATACCTATGTGTAGTGTATACAGAATAGAAAGCAAGACACCTTGGTGGTTCGTCAAACATAAATATAAACTCATATTTATACTGCATTCACAATGAGTTTACGTTTTAAAGGTGCAGTCAGTAATTTTTTATGTTTTATAATAGAAAAAAATGACATTATTCTCATTAATATATAGATTATTGTCTGTTTATGCCAAATTAATACTTTCTCATAAACTCATATTTAATCCATTAAAATGCATAGAAGCAGATTTGCTTATTGTGAAAGCTGTGAAAGCTCACTCAGTTTCCCTCTAATAAACAGTTTGAGTGCATTTTCACATCATATGAGACTTTATTCACTAAGTGTCAGAGTACAAGGCAAGGCAAGGCAAGGCAAGTTTATTTGTATAGCACAATTCAACAACAAGGTGATTCAAAGTGCTTTACAGAGACATTAGAAACAAGAACAAATAAAAAGCATGATTTAAAATTGATTAAAACAAGCAAATAAACTAACTAAATACAAGTTACATTCACTTTAAAGAAAGTTTCACTAACGCTGCTAACAGTAGCTAATGAATGCTAATAGCATCACTTAGCGACAGAAAACACCAGCGTATCTGAACATTTCACCTCAGCATGGCTGTCATTGGACAGAAGAGAGCTTCTCTTCTCACTAACTCATATGGAACTCTTACCCAACATCGACATCTAAGCTAAACTGTGAACTCACAGCCTTCCACAGATATGGAAAAACTCTGGGGTGTATTCAGATCTGCTCCAAAGGGAAGGAGAAAGTTGCTGGACTAAATTTAATGATTATGGACTTGAATTGGGAAGGATAGTAAAACAGAACTTAAGTGACTGCAATCTACTGACATCAAGCAATCACAGTTTTACAGAGTATTACTTTAATAAAATTGTGTAGTTGGCTTGCTCCATACTTTACATAACCACCAAATCATTATTTTATAAAATCATATCTGCTTGTGAATAGACCACACTGACTCCATGATTGCATAAATTATAACAGACACATAAGAAAAAATGTATACTTAAAATTGTGTATTAGCAATGGGAAATTCTTCTACAGGTTTATACACTCTGTATTCAAACCACAGGGCACTGGTAAAGTGAAGGAGCTTGAGACTGGGGTCTCTCCTGTGAGGCTGCATGTGACAGACAAAGACACCCCCCACACCTCTGGATGGAGAGCCAGATACACCATACATGGTGACGAGAGAGAGAACTTCAAGATACTAACAGACTTAGAGACTAATGATGGGATCCTGACAGTAGTTGAAGTAAGTGGTGTTTGACTACATGCTATACATTACAATGACACCCACAGCTTTTTAAAAAATTTATTATCCTCTTATATAATGATGCTGACAATATTTTTTGAATTTCACAATTTTTTTTTACTGATTTTGCAACACTGTTGTATAATTTCAGCCTTTAGACTTTGAGAATGGGGCGCAGAGGGAGCTGTTGATCTCAGTGGAAAACGAGGCGCCGTATTACTCCTGTGAAGTAAAAGAGAGGACGCCCTCAGGCCTCTGGAAAGTTGACACCATTAAAGGCCATGATCCCTCTGGTGCAGCTGAACCTCAGTCTGTAAAAGTCACCGTTGATGTGGAGGATGCCAATGACCCTCCTAATTTCAGCATGACCCTGAAAGAGGTCGCGGTGATGGAGAACGTACCCGCTGGAACCTGGTTTGATAAAGTGACAGCTGTGGATCCTGACTCCAATTATTCCAAAGAGTTTGTGTAAGCGATTTATTTGATTAAACATTTCTGAACGTTGATCTGAAGCTGTTCAGTTCTGTCTAAGTGCACTGAATCTGTCCACAGGTACAAGGTAGGAAATGATCCTGCTGGCTGGGTGACGGTGGATCCCCTCACAGGAATCATCACAATGATAAAGACGCCCGACAGAGAATCTCCACACGTTGTTAACGGCACCTACACCATCTTAGTGTATGCAGTTGACAAAGGTAAACACACACTCTGACTTTTAAAACACAAACTGCTTTTTTTTTACTACATTTCTTGCATCTTGGACAGGTATACCACCAATGACAGGAACAGCTACACTACATATCCATGTGTGGGACCAGAATGACAATGTGCCACAGCTAACAGTGGACAGCCTGGATGTGTGTGTGTCTGATGCCCCCACAACCACCAACATCGAGGCCTTTGACCCAGATGAAGAACCTTATGGAGGGCCTTTCACTTTTGAACTGTTGGGAAATGTTGAAGGAAAATGGAGACTGAATCCTGGTTATGGTAGAAACATCCTTCATGTATTTAGTGACATATTACAGAAAAACAGGCACAAAAGCCAGAACTCCTAAAGTATCCTATCATTTCCTGATCTTTTCTTCAAGGTTACACAGCTGGTCTGGTGAAGGAGCCCGGTGTGTCCTCTGGTCAACACACAATTCATCTAAAGATCTCCGACATGCAGGGAGCATTTAAAGTTTACAACCTCAGTGTGACTGCATGTGGCTGCACTGTGACACCAAACTGTCGAATTCGCCAGAAATCTGAAATAAACATTGGCCCTTATGCTTTATGCATAATAATTTCTTCACTCTTACTACTTCTGTGTAAGAAACACACCGTTTACTTTAGTGTAGGAGAACTGTGATATGTGTGCTAACATCTCTAAGAACCCAGCATAAGTTTTATTTTATCTTTGACAGTTCTGCTGCTGCTGGCTCTCAGCACCTCGTCCAAAAGAGAGTTTTTTACTATGGAGCCTGAAGATTGTTCAGGAGGAATCCTCCTCCAATCAAACACTGAGGCACCAGGAGACAACTGCGAGGTCACTGTTTAGAAACATTTGCATCCATGCCAATGACCCATTTTAAGGCAAATATCATTAAACCATTTCTCTTTCTTTAGATTCCTGTCACTATTATGGAAGAACCAGTTTGTATGGAGCAATATAATCAATCTAATTTCCATATTCCACTGAATGGGATGAGAAATGGGAGATATTCAGCAAGGGTGGGTATGAATGAAGTTCAGACTTTTGGCAGTTTTCGGAGTTTACGCTCACCACCTAGGGTAGGTCATTCTTCCATGGAGCATGTACTTTTGTAAAAGCATCTCAGAATCCTCTACAGATCACCTCCTGCTCTCGTCATCCTTTTGAACAGGATTTTACACAGAGGTCCATCCACCCACGCTTTGGGGATTTCAGAAGAGAAAGCCAATACAGCCAATACAGCTACACTGGGAACCAGGTTGTACACACCCACAGAAGATTGAGGATGTCTTACAAATGGATCTTAAAATAATAACTATATATTTTTGTTCTTTAAATCTCAGTCAAACTGGAATTCTCCAATAACCACTGGCTTTGACAGCAGCCATCAGGTAGAACAGCAGAGATTTGTGTTTGTAATCTTTTACTTTGAAATCAGAGATAAAGAAATGTGAACCTTTTGTGTGCAGTTTGAAGACATGAGCAATATGAACGTCCTCCAAACACAAACCGTGAGCTGTGCTACGGAGTCTAATGACATGCAGGTTCATCAGGTTGGTAGTCTCTTAAGTATGTCACATCTCCTATGCTGCATTATTTTTTAAAAAAATTAATAAAAATGTATGAGCATGTACCATTAAAAAACAAATCACTTCAGGTATATTTGTATTTGCTTTTGACATGTTCTGCTTTTTACAAAAGCTAACCTCTCTGCGGGCGAAAGAAGGGGACTTGCTAGACGATGAGCTTCACATCTATTCAGAGCTAGACTCAGACACCATCCCAGAGCTGGAGGCAATCAGTATTTCTGAAGAGGGCTCATTTCAGGACACACTGGAAGATCTGGGTCCAAAGTTTCACCAACTGGCTTCTATATGCATGACAGCCAAGGACTCACAACCTAAGGTAGGTCATTCTTCCATGGAGCATGCACTTTTGTAAATGCATCCCTCAAAGTGTGAACAGATTCCTCTATAGATCACCTCCTGGTCTTGTCACCCTTTCCCAACAGGAAATCCACTCACCATGTGAGAATTTAAGAAGAGAAAGCCTGTCCTACCAACACAGCTACCCTCAGAACCAGGTTGTACACACCCATAGAAGATCAAGGATGTCTTACAAATGGATCTTAAAATATTAAATGGTTTCTTTTTCAAATTTCAGTCAGACGGGAATTCTCCAATAACCACTGGCTATGACAGCAGCCATCAGGTAGAACACCAGAGATTTGTGTTTGTACTCTTTTACTTTGAAATCTGAGATGAAGAAATGTGTGAACTTTCTTTATGCAGTTTGATGATATGGGCAACATGAACGTCCTCCAATCACAAAACATGAGCTGTGCTACGGAGTCCATTGAACTCATGCCAGTTCATCAGGTTGGTAGTCTTTAGTCCATTATGCTGCATTATTTAAAAATAAAAATAATCACTGCTGGCACATTTGCATGTGCCACCTTTTACAGAAGACAACCTCACTCCCAGAGAAAAAAGGGGACTTTGACAGAGACCTTCACATCGACGCACAGGAGGGGGACTCCGATGCCATCTCAGAGCTGAATAGGATCAGTATTTCTGAAGGTGGTTCATATCAGGACACACTGGAAGATCTGGGCCCAAAGTGCCACAAACTCACTTCTATTTGCAGCCCAACACAACGACAGGACTCAAGATATTACGACATGTAAACATTTCTGCTCCAAGTGTGAGGAAGAACATTCAATTCCTATATTCTATTAGGAGGAGAGACTAAAAAGGGTTTGTGGCGACAACTTCTGCAGGAGAAATGCTACAAGAGAGCCATATTGTTAATCACATATTTATTACTGTGCCACATGCGTCTTCAGTTTTTATATCAAACTGGGGAAAGAAAAAAAAAAAACACAAATCCAAAACAAGCAAAACCAAAACAAACCACAAAAGTACAGTTGTCCATTTTGACAAACCTGGCTTCAGAACCCATTTGGATTACATTTGAACAGCCAAGTATGTGTAACTTTATACAAACACAACCCCCCCCCAAAAAAAAAAAAATAAAAACCAACGACAAATTCCACATCGCATGTTTCAAACTAAGTAACAATATTGCCTTTTTTTTTTAAGTGCACAGTTGCTGGATTAAAAGAAACTGCTCTCCCATTTCATGTAAGGATCCAAAATACAAATTTGCATTTGGGATAAACAAAAAACAAATCAAAAATCTTCACTGAGTGCTGTTGCAGAGGTTTGAACTCAAGGAGGTTCCTCTTAAACAAGTCAAAAACTACAGTATGTACAACAGTTTAACAAAAGGAAATCTTTCACACTCTGCCACTACCAACTTTTGGAAGCGCTCGCTGCTCAGTGGCGTTCAGCCCTCTGCGTCCACGCCCCCTGAATCCTCTGCCTCTCAGGAAGCGGCCAGGAACTCCAAATGTTTCTATGTTCAACTTTTTCTCCTCAGCCCAGGTGGTCCTCCTAAAACGCACAGTTTTTTGTAGGGTGGGAGTAAGTATATTACAGAGCTTCACAAAACAAATATTACAAATAAACTGTTTAGGTCACCTGGGCTTGAGGTCTGATGAGACGTTATCAAAGAAACACTTGGCTTTGTCATAGTACTTATCTCTGAGAGGCTCCTCCTCCTCTTCAGGAGGGCTATCCTGGGTCTCCCAAGACTCCTTATCAACTGCAAAATACATGTGTATATACTCAGCTCAGTTTCTGTCACTTCAAATAAAACTGAATTGATTGGTGATCTTTAAAACATACCAACATTTTGCTTCGTAAGATCTTTAAACTGAGCATTTGCACTTTCAAAATCAAAATCTGACTCAAATGCCAAAGTTGAAGCCTTTGTGTTTTTCACTATTAGTTGGCCTCTGCTTCTGTTCCTGGACCTGCGGCTGCCTGCAAATAAGCATTTAGAGGGGAAGGGGAAATTTAAAAAAAACAAAAACAAAAAAAAAAAACAACAAAAAACCCACCCACACACACCCCCACACACACACCCGTTAAAACTGGTTCTCAAACCAGTTCATCTAGTATGAGACATTTCATTTTGTAATTTAATGCTTCCAGGCAGATGGGCAAAATTTGGTTTTATAAATATAATTGCAGTTAATTTTCATGCGGAAAGAGTCAAGCAAACTTACTGCCATTCAGCAATTAGCAGCTCACAATGCACATTTTAAATGTGGATACCTTGTCTCTGCCTTAGTTTCTGGCTTCCTGTATTTTGGCCTTCAGCTGAGGCAGCACTTGGCTGAGATGGTGCCTGTCCTAAAATGATATATGATAATCTTTCTCTTTATCGTGGTGGACTTAAAAGCAGTGCAATGAAGTCAACTGATGTTAAAGTAAATGTTCACTGTTAAAGTCTGCTTACTGGTGGGTATATTCTCTTTTTGAACCTGGGCACCAGCCTGTCCAGACCGCTGAACTGGACGCACCAGCGGTTTGTTCTGTGGCTGGGTTGTAGTCTTTCCCTTTTTCTGTGCAGCACTGACCAAAGGCATGGTCTGGACAGCCTGTTCAACCATAGGGGCTCTTCTGGCTTGGCCTGAAAGTCCTAGAATTGAGAGAGCACAAAGAAGCCTAGTGGTGCAAGACCATTTTCCATGCTGGAAACCCAGATTTACACAAACATAAATATATAACAAATCCTCTGTTATATTGAGAAGAACTCTGTACCTAGTCCCAGTGCTGCACTGTACTGCTGGTTGAGTAGAGAGCTAGCAGCCAGCTGATTGTAGGTGGGCATCATGTCTCTGTAAGGACTCCAGCGTGGGTGATACATTGCAGAGGAGCTGCCAATTGATGACTGATCCCACAACAATAAAGACAAAAATGAACTTTTGCAAAACTTTCTATCAATTTCAAATAAATCTACAGTGAGGAAACAAAAGTTGAATCTCCTTCACCTACTCACCTGAACAATAGCAGGGTCCCGAGGAAGTCCATGGTGTGGTTTTGGTGGCTCAGAGACAGTAATATCTTTTATGTCACTGCCCCTGAAGATTATGAATTCATAAACTTCATCTTTGGGTGGCACTGGTCTAACTGTGTGCCGGTCTTCAGTGCCGTAAGATTTAACTGGGAAAATATATGTTGAAATGACATAAAGCAAGTCAGCTGTTTTTTAAACCACAGCAAATTTTGTTTAAGACTTAACTGAGAAACACAGCCTCGAGCCACATCCTGTAAAGCATCAACCTACCTTTTGCTAAAGCAACTGTGGACCTGTCTGTGTCCACAGAAGACAAAATGCCCTCATAACGAATCTGTGCCTTGGAAATTAAACTTATTTTACTGCCAATGTAAGGAGTTCCTCCGGCACTCATGCTTGCAGTAAAAATATGCTTTCAGCTCAAACTTCACCTACAGAGTGAGACGCCACACCACACACACCTTAACTAATCCACAGTGTGCATGATGGAAAGCACCTGTGCACTTTATAAGATTGGCAGGGCTGCACCTCTTTGCGGCTGTGTGTAAAACGGGGGTAGTTTCTTTACTCAGTCGGCATACACCGCTAGTTACAAAAGCAAGAGCGTGGAGTTAAACTAAGTAAAACTGGAAGCGGGCTTGCTGGTGTTAAACGCTAAGCCCAAACAGATCTGAGGTGTCCACTAACAAACTCACCAGCAGCTAGTGGTTAAAAATTAGTTTTGCTGTCGTTATGGTATAGGACCGGATCGTTTAACTTCAATAAACATATACATCAGGGGTAGGGGAACTCCAGGCCTCGAGGGCCAGTGTCCTGCAGGTTTTAGATCTCACCCTGGGTCAACAAACCTGAATCAAATGATTAGTTCATTACCAGGCCTCTGGAGAACTTCCAAGACATGCTGATAAGGTAATTTAGCCATTTAAATCAGCTGTGTTGGATCAAGGACACATCTAAAGCCTGCAGGACACTGGCCCTTGAGGCCTGGAGTTCTCAACCCCTGATATACATACAAATATATACCAGCTTACTGGCCACTTTGACAGGTACATCTGTTCAACTAATTTCATGGCTGCACTCTAATGAATTTAGGCATGTAAACATGGTCAAAATGACCTACTGAGGTTTAAGTGGCTTTGAACGTAGCATGGTTGGTGGTGCTGGAGTGTGGCCTGATCTGGGATTTTGCCTCACAACTATCTCCAGGATTTACAGGGAATGGTCTGCAAAGAGAAAATAGCCAGTTGGTGGCAGTCCTCTGAGAAAAAACAAAAAGGAAGAGACCAAAAAACGCCTTGGTGATCCTAGCGGTCAGAGGTGAATGGCCAGACTGCTTTGAGCTGATGGGATGGAAACAGTAACTCAAATAACCACTCATTGCAATTAGAGTATGCAGAAGAGTGCATGCACAACACACCTCAAACCTCGAAGGGGATGGGCTACAGCAGCAGATGACCACAACGGATGCCACTCCTGTAAACTAAGAACAAAAAACTGAGGCTAGAATACATACACTACAAGTGGACAATGAAAAACTGGGAAAAAAAACATTGCATGAGGCTCAGTTTCTGCTGCACCATGAATCCATCTAGCCTTGTAGTTGTTTCTGCTGGTGTACTGGTGTGGGGGATATTTTTTGGCACACTTTGGGTCTCTTAGTACCAGTTGAGCATGTTTTTTTTACAGACTACCTGAATATCATTATTTACTATGTCCATTCCCTTATGATCACATACTGAAGGTATAGTCTTCTAATGGTTCCAGCAGGATAAGAAACTGCTTAAAGCTCAAATAATCTCAAACTAGTTTCTTAAACATTGCAATGGGTTCATTGGTCTCAGATTGCCTCTACAGTCACCAGATCCCAACCCAATACATGACATCTGGGATGTGCTGGAGTGGGAGTTTCACAGTGTGGATGTGCAGTCTGCAAATCTGCAGTGACTTTGTGATGCTACATCAATATGGGCCCAAAGCCTGAAGAATGTTTCCAGCACCATGTTCAATCTGTGCCACAAAGAATTTGGACAACTCTAAAGGTAAAAACAGGGTCGAACCCAGAACAAGCAAGGTGTTCCTAATAATGGTGATTGTATATGACATGTAATTTATCAAACTGAAAAATATATAAATAAAACTATAACATTACTCCAGCTGCTTACAAATAATTAAAGATATTTTTTTTTTCTTTTGGAGGTCAGAACAAAATTTAAAATAAAACATTTAGACTGTATTAAAATATTATTAAAAGGAAAAATATTATTTTTTATAAATTATTCTCCCTTTTAAATTTTGGAGCAACTTAAATCCTTAAAAACAACAACAAAACAAACAAAAAAACCCACGAAACTTGGAAATAATTATCTTGTTTGAGCCATTGTGAGTTTGCTGCCAAAGTTGCTGAATAATTTTTGGAAAGGAAAACGGCTGCACGTCTGGATCTTTATTTCAACACAAAAATGAAAGCAAAACAAACTTTGCTCTTTCGCTGGCATTCATAGCAGTCGGTACGCTTAAAAAAAACAAAAAAAAAGAAGTTCTAAATCCCATGACTGGCTGACTGCACTGTACATTTCCTCTCTAAAGCAGGGTGGGGCGCCCTCAAACGCCTCATCACAACAGCAACTTCACTCGGCTATAACACTGCAGCCATCTTGCACAGCGCACCGAGCGCGAATAACCTGTTAAATTCGGTTTGTTAGCTTGTCGCAAACCCAATTATTCTTCTACCAAACGACACATATTGAAATTCTTCAGCCGAATAGTTATCGTGTTAGTGTAAACACGTCGCTGACAGTGTAACATTTGACGAAAACAGATTATCTCCGATACGATGTTGTTCCGTCTCGCGCAGCCCCTGGAATGACAGCTGAAGCCATTGGTACCGCCTTTTACACGTGGAGCAGCCAATCACAGCTCTCAGAAGTCCCTACTCGGAGACTTTTAGCTGTTGTGCGCAAGCGCACGTCAGTCGGTAAGTACCTCACTTTTCACAAGCTCGCAAGAGTGTGAAGATGGCGGTTGGCTCTGGCCCGCTGGAAGAGCTCTTGTTACTCACAGGGGTGAATAAAGCGGTAGTTTGTCATCCTGCACGTTCTGTAGACTCACAACTGTCGTTCTTGTGTCACAACAACCACTGGGTTAGGGACGAGGCTGCCGGTAATTACATGGCTATAGTTCCGGGACAAGGGGGTAGCTCGAGCTAATGCCCAGCTGGGACTTGGTCAAGACGATTGCTAAAGCAGGTACGCTGTAAACTACTAATGTTGTTTTTCTCTTTGTCTCTCCTACTGTAAACGGAAAGCGATCGCCGGAGCTGACAGAGAAAAGCAGCAACTGTGACATAGTCTTGCCCCATTGCATTCAAGATTGTTTGTGCGCCTTGTTAAACAAGTTGAAGTGCGGGGGGTCTCTACATAACGAGCTCCCCATGGTTCAGCTATGGACGCATCGACGGCCAGCACGGACTCCAACACGGGATACGACCCTGGCAAAACACCTGTCGTTAGTAGCGGCGTAACTTTTCTCCCTAATCATCAGGGGAAAGTGGGCTCATACTCGGCGCAGACTTTCAATGGGAGCCAAACTATGAACTCTCACAATTCAGGAAACGCTGCCACTCTCAGGGGGACGATAGTGACAAGTGGCACTGGTAGCAGCAGCAGCGCCGCGATATCTGTCACAGCTGTCAACAGTGGACCAGTGTTGTCAAAAGGGCTGGCCGGTGTCACAATGCCCCCCTCTTCAAACAGTGTAATTCAGACCCCGCTCATGAACTCTCAGAGCGTCGTGGCTTCAGCTCAGCCTGTGAGCCAAGCAACGGGACCCACTGTGACACTCGTCAGGACGCCTATGCAAACCGTTGGGTCGGGTGCAGTTTTGAATGGAAACAATAGCGCGAGCCCTTCTGTGGCGGCCAGTGCATCGAGTCAGACAGGTATCGGCATGCAAACTCCGCTTGTAAACAACGGCCAGCCTTCCAGTTCTGTGGCCATCAGCGCGGGGACGCACATCATCAAGGCAGAGCCACCCACAACAATAACAGAGTCGGCACCGCAGCCTACTGTCACTCCCGGCGCCGTCACCGTTCCTCGGACTTCTGCGGCGGCAGCTGCCGCTACTGGCGGAATCCGAGCTCTGGCACCTCAGATGCTGGCCCCAAGGCTACCCCAGGCTACACCGGGACAACCGAGTATCCATAACATCCAGCTCCCACCGGGTGAGTGGAGTTAGTTGAGAAGGCATTTGTTTCACACTTAACTGAGTCACCATGTTTTAGTTCCTTTTTTGTCTTTCTGAACGATTGCAAAAATGTTATCCCAGGACAGTATATATAGTACTTGCGTGCCCTCAGACTTACTACGAGAAGCACACTGAAGTCTTTAAGTCACACTAATTTGCTCATTTGTTATTTGCTGGTTACTGTTATTATGTTGATGTTTATAGTATGTTATTTTCTGTTTTCTTTTTTCTCTTTTTTTGACGGGTGTCAGGAATGGTGCTTGTACGGAGTGAGAGTGGACAGCTGCTGATGATTCCTCAGCAGGCTTTGGCCCAGATGCAAGCCCAGGCGCAGGGAGACCTGGCACCTCGGGCCACTACACCAACGAATGTGCCTCCAGGCCAGGTAAGAACATCATTTTCACAACAATTATCTTTCACTTCATATTAGTGACTCAGGCCACGTTCAGCCTGCACACAGTTGATGAAAACACCTGTTGAGCAGACTATTGGATTGCATAACTTGCAGTACATGGGGAGCAGCATTGTGGATCTTATTATTGGTCTTAAGCCTTGTAAAGCTGCAAGATTCATGCATTTTAACTTTTTATAGACTTGGATGTTGCTCGTCAACTTTTGCTTTTTGCCACTTCTTAGGCTCCTGGAAACACTGTCATCAGCAGACAAGTGACTCCCAGCACCATCATCCGACCAGGCGGTCCAGCTCCTGCATCACTGACTGCAACCACTACTCTTCACAGACCACCTATCCTTCAGGTCGGTTGGCAGCGAAACATATTTGATTTCTGATGTGACTGCTTTGCAGTATTTTCTTTGTAATAGCATGTGAGCTAGAGACACGAAATAATATTCAGAGCATGATATTTTCAGGCACATAGGCCATACAATGGAAACCTACTTAAGTTACAGTGTTTTGAGAATCGTCTGTTTGTTGTGTATAGGGAATGCTTTTAAACCCCCCAATTGCTTTTTAATTAGAAGTTATTGTGTTTATACAAAATGCGAACAATTTATATGTTATGGATTTTACTTTTAGATGTCTATATGCAAGATTTAGTTTACTTAATTGCTACTTTATGCCAGAATGACTGCTGTTAAGTCAATATTATATTGGGTGTAAAAGCAGTTAGAAAGCACAATTCTAGTAGTTTGGCTTAATGTTTACTTTCATGGACTGTTATACAAATGCTACTGCAGGACTGTTTTTCAGTGATCACGTTGAGCTTTAATAGAGAAAAGAGAGGGAAAAATATCAAGTCATTTCTCTTAAGTGCATTTGAGTCAGAGTGTGAAGTCTTTTTTTCTTATTTTAATGATTACAGCTGTTTCACTGACAAACACGAATCTACAAATGTGACATTCGCTTATTACTCACTTTATTAAGTTTAAGAGAAATGACTTCTGTACTAGGATTACTGTCATTTTACCTTCAGCTTTGTCGTTTCGCTTCCATCTATGTGGGATGATGTACAGTGAGGTTGCTCACCAGTTATAACCAGTTATCACACTGAGTTAGTCATGCATGGCATTGGGAAATCTGGCACTTGTGGACCTTGTTCGACCTGGGAAGTTATGTGTTAACACACGCAGAAATATCTCTGCAAATTATAAACTAGTAATGAACGACAAAAAAAGAACAATGGTTATTGGTGTCCAGACTTTCAGTAATATTATAGTGAAGCAGCAAACTGAAATTATTCTTTTAAGGAAGAGCGCCCAGCTGAGACGCTGCAAGAGAAGTGCACCTGTTTTCTTATATAAACCTGAAGATTGAATGATGTACTTGAGCAACTGTGAAATGGCTTTAAATCTCATACTGTTCTCTAATGATGCAAATAGCTGTCTTTGAAACAGTTCAGCAATCCAAATGACATAACCTTATCCTTTTTCAGAGCTCAGTTGGGGCAGCAGTACCCGGAATGACCTCTAGGACAGTGAGCCAAACAGCTGGGACCACAGTTACCTCAGTAGCATTCAGTAAAGTGAGTTGTGTCAATTGCAATAGATCAAATGGAGTTGGATGACTGTGCTTTGCTGTGTATTGTAGAGTTTATAATACTTCATGTGATGCATTTACTCTATTAGACATATAATTACTGAAAAGGTCTTGAGTCATCCCTCATTTCTTTATCTTTTGCTTACAAGGCGCCAGATTTTCTTGTCATTTTTCAAGTGGTCTTCAGCAATAGTTCTTGAGGCTTTCTGAGGGTCTTTCAAAGTTTTTCTTTGGACACTGTCGGCTTTTCACTCATCCCAGTCCTTGGACTTAATCATTTTAAGAGGGAAACGTTTTCTTCTTCTTTTTTAAGCCACTTAACACTGATTTATAAACCATTCAAGGATTTTTAAAAAGCACCTAACTCAATGGATGAACCAGTGTTTTGTCTATACATAACACACAACCTGACAAAGAACTGATTTTAAATTGTATATTTGGGCATTTTTTTACTAGCAGCCTGCCACTGAATCACATCATTTCTTCCCAGTTCTTTTAGTTGACTCTAACAAAAATGTCAAAGATCAGAAAAGTTTGACAGGCATAAAATAGTACTTTAACAGCAACAAGGTGATTCCCAGAACGGTAGCTTACAGCTTACCTGAACTTAAAAACCAGACATACTGTGCAGTGTGTCCTAAAAAAAACGTCTGGAAACTGGACAAGTGGAGGACAAAAGAGTGGCAGCACTAAGCCATGTTCTCAACTTTGTGGGAACGGTTCCAAAATGACTGTGCATCAGTGTACAAAGCAAGGTCCATAAAGACATGGATGAGTGAGTTTGGTGTGGACAAACTTGACTGCCCTGCACAGAGTCCTGACCTCAACCTAACAGAACACCTTTGGGATGAATTAGAACAGAGACTGTGAGCCAGGACTTCTTGTCCAACATTAATGACCTCACAAATCCACTTTTGGAAAAAAGTCAAAAATGTCCATAATTCTCCTAAACTTTGTGGAAAGTCTTCTCTGAAGAGTTAAAGCTGCTATAGCTGCATATTAAACTCTATAGATTAGGAATGGGATGTCATTCTGGTTCATATGCATGTGAAGACCTTTGGCAATTTAGTGTATGTCAAATTTGTGAGGTTTTATGGAGTCATGAATCAAAATTTTAGGTTTAATTTGTCATCAATATATACTCAGCGTGATAATAATCCCAGAGCGTACCTGGATAGAGGAACACTTGAAACCATCAGTCATGGCCTCACCAGAGCTTGGAGGTTTACATTATTAAAGCAGTGTGGGATCATCTCTACAGAACAGAACAAAAAGCCAACATTCAAAGAAGCGGAGAACTATTCCTGAAGACTACTTAAGAGTTGACAAGAAAGCTTACCTTAGAGCTCAGGCTGTGTTGAAGAATAAAAGGCGGTCATTCCAAATATTGAATTTCCACATTTTAATAAATCACAGCACACATTTTCCTGGCAAAATGTAAAGAAATGAGGACTAAAGAAAAGACGACTTGCACATTATTGTAGTGTATTTATTTATTTATTTATTTTAAAGTTACTGTGGTGTATAACAGAATGTTGTTTTTTTAAATTGGGTTTGATTGGGTTTTTCTGTGTTTCCTTTTTGGCAGGAGACAATTGAGAATGTGAAAAAATGCAAGAACTTCCTCTCCACACTGATCAAGCTGGCATCCAGTGGAAAGCAATCCACAGAAACTGCAGCCACTGTTAGGGAGCTGGTCAAGGATCTGCTAGTGAGTAAACCTGAGGCTCTCTCCACACTGATATCATTACAAAATGTATAATAAGCTTTTTAAATGGAGAGAAACACCCACTAGTATGAGATTCATTTTCAAAGAGAAGCAGGCAGCCAGGAGGGGATAGGATGGGTTTGATGTGGGTTCATTCCTTACCACCTATGTATACAACTCAAAAAGGAGAAAGAGAGACCTTTTGGAAGTGATTCTGAATGTAGTTTTTGTGTAAAAACTCCTGGATTGTGTTTTAGATTGGACGCACAGACGGTACAGTCACCCACATTCAGCTGTCATTGTGTTATGTTTTATTAGGAGGGCAAACTGGAAGCTGAAGAGTTCACCAGCAGATTGTACAAAGAGCTCAACTCCTCACCCCAACCTTATCTTGTGCCTTTCCTCAAGGTAAGTATAATTATTGCATCTTTTTACAGTGACCATTAAAATGCGAGGCTTTGTGTGTGCATTTCCTTTAAGTTTGTACATAAGGGTATTGTAAGGGTAATATTTTGTCCAACTGTCTTCATTTTTTTAGAGAAGCCTCCCAGCTTTGAGGCAGCTCACCCCAGACTCAGCAGCTTTCATCCAGCAGAGTCAGCTCGCCCAGCCAGCCTCAGGTTCAGTCTCCTCCACCTCTACCACTCCTACTACAGTGGTCCTCGGTAGCCCAGCCCCTCGCCTTCCTACACCAGTCAGTAGGCCCCTGCTCCAGCCAGGCATTAACAAACCAGGACAAATGCCCTCACTGGTAAGTAAAATTCATTTAGATGTTGACTCAGGTAGCTCTTGTTCCAGTTAGATGTTACAAGATGTTTTATTGACGTTACACCTCACTGAATAAATGCTGCGTTCTTTCTGTAGAGCATTGAAACTGAAACCTCTACACACAGAAATGATGTTTTCTTGACTTCTGAATTCTTGCTTATTCTGCTCTAAAAAGTCTTTGAAGTAATATTGATACTTATTAGATGAGGTGCTAATTAGCAGACGATCTTAAAATCTGGCATTCCACCTATTTAAATGGGGAGAAGACCTCATTTAGCTGTTTAGTCTCACTGTGTTCACCAAAAGAAAAGAGTTGTTTAAGGAATAAAGGACCAAAGCATTGCCAAGCATGGTGAAGATAAAGGCTAAAAAAGTCTCCAAGCATCTGATCACTGCTGACTTGCACACATCATATTTAATGGCTATTTGGTTATTGATGTTGTAGTGCACCAATGAATGAACTGGGCAGAAAGGTGGGAGAAGCCACCCAGTAAATCTGAGAGAATTCTGCATAGTTTACTCAGACTAGCAGCAGAGTAATGTAGAAGTCTCATCTAGAACGGTTTCAGAAATTCTACACTACAAAATATTCAATATGTCTGTGAAGGTTCTCAGTCATCCAGGTCATGGTAATCTAAGAAGCTTGGAAAGAAAAGCGACTGGACTTCTTTAAGACATTTCTTGAAGACGTTTTTCCTCTCATGAAACTAAAGAAACTTCTCAGATGAGAGGTTAAACGTCTTCAAGAAATGTCTTAAAAAAGTCCAGTCAGCCACCACTGCTACATTAGGCTTTATCTAACAGATATGTGAAGTAAAAATGAGATGGCAAGAAGTTCTGAAGGAGTTTCACTATTTACTTAATAACAATAATACAGCGTACAATATAATACTTTTCAACTTTTACCCTTTCAGGTTCTCCAGCCTCAGCAGCAAAGAGCACTTCTGAGACCTCAGGTAACCTTACCGACAACCCCCGTGATGACTCTCAGGAATCAGGCCCCTAGTCACATCGTGCTGGGACAGCAGCAGGTCCACCTTAAGGAGCTACAACCAGGTGAGGATGTCAGTCTAACAACACTTCTGAATGTGTGTGTTTGTGCATGTGCACCTTTTATTGGGTGATTCGCAGTATTTGTTTTTTGCGAGTCAATGTACTTAATCTGTTTTGTCCCTGCTAGTTCCCCTGAGGCCAGAGGGGCCGCCTGGTTCTAAACAAGTCCTTGTTGCAGCCTTGACCCCAGCTCAAAAAAACAAGCTCAAAGAGGCGGGTGGTACTTTCAAGTAAGTGACATTTAAATGAGTCCTTCTAGTTTTGTTTGTTATCAACAAAAGGTTTACATGAAAGATGAAAACCAGCAACTATAGTTAAGTAATAATTAAAGGCTTAAGTAAATGTCAATGCATCTTTTCATTGCTTCAAAAACTCTAGCTGGCTCTAAACGGGATTAAAAATTGAATTGATAGTTTTGAAGTCTTAGTATTGTGCGCCATATTTCATGAATGAATTTCATGATGAATGCTTTTACTTGATGTCTATTGACAGAGATGATGATGACATCAATGACGTAGCCTCCATGGCCGGAGTGAACCTGTCAGAAGAGAGCGCCAATATCCTCGCCACCAATTCCATTACAGTGGGAGCGGTGACGCATTCCTGTAAGGACGAAGCGTTTCTCTCCTGTGCCGTACTGCAGAGGAAAATGCTTGAGATCGGTGAGACACTACAGGTTTCTCAAGTGATGCTGACATTCTTTGAGCTGTCCACCACATTGGATGTAATACAAGTGCCATTTGCAAACGAAAAATGTGCATTCCCTGAGGGGTTTGCAAGTATTTCCTGGAAGGTTGACAATGGTCACAAGCAGGGTGCTGCACTAAAATCTTTCTTATGATAAGCTACTAGAACGCCAAAAATGCCTGAAGTTTGCCGACTTGTCTGCAAATACTTTCTAAGTACTAGTCAAGCAGACTAGACAATGTTCTCCTTCAAAGTAAAAGGTTTGCCTTTGTGTTGGAGCCAACATTTCCAGTTACTTTCCACAGTTATACTGTAGCTCGGAAAGTAGCTGGAAAGTGTTGCGTGGAAGTCTGCTAGTGACCAAAGTAACTGCAAGGTTTTTGCCATCTTGTGAGGTAAATGGTGAATGGTCCGGTTCTTATATAGAGCTTTTCTATTCTACCAGAACGCTCAAAGCGCTTTCTGTTGAGCGAATCATTGTCAGGAGTCATTGAATGGTCTCTAGGGGCTTTAGCACTAGATTTCCCAGGTACAATCAACCTCGAGCAACAACTTTCATCCCGTCTTTTTCCCTCACGATGGATGGCTACCAGATGGTCACCCACCACTGTGGGTGTTACTGCGGCCTTATTCACTTTATCCTACACTGTAACTATCAACGTCCAAAATGGAAGACAAGATAAAGTCACGTGGTTTAGCACTCAGATGCCTGCAAAATCCAATACGACGTTTGTTGTTTTATGAGCCTCATAACACTGTTGTGGTTTTTCTGCTCCAGGTAGGAGGTATGGTGTAACAGAACTCGGTCCTGAGGTGGTGAACTACGTCTCGCACGCTGCTCAACAGCATCTTCAGAACCTACTTGAAAAAGTCTCCCAAGTAGCCCAGCAGAAAAACATCACTTTCAAGGTTTGTAGCCGCAAAATGTTTTTCCATTTGGTTTTAATGTCCAAATGATAGGTATGTCTTGCAGTAAATGAGTTGGAACACAGCCTATTTAATATAAAATCTTAACACCTCTTTCACTTGGCAGGAGGATAACAACCATGAGCAGAGCAGCGATGTTCGTACTCAGCTGAAATTCTTCGAGCAGTTGGACCAGTTAGAGAAACAACGAAAAGAGGAGCAGGAGAGAGAGATCCTCCTGAAGGCAGCTAAGGTACAGATATCAGTATATTTTGTCTACAGGCTTACATTGATGTTGAATGGATCTCAGTGCTTGCACCACGTGGTCTTAGGTGTTTTTTTGTTGTTGTTGTTGTTTTTCCTTGCGTGCAATGTGTTCTTAGTTAGTTTTTTGTTTTTTTCTTTGTTTAATTTGTTGCATCTTTCTTGTGTTTCTCCAGTCTCGAGCTCGGCAAGAGGATCCAGAACAGCTGCGTCTCAAGCAGAAGGCAAAAGAGGTACAATAAAAAGACGACTGTCCACAAAGTTTGTTTCCCTATATTTATGTAGTGTATGATGAATTTACGTGTGTGTGTTTGTGTTGTATAGATGCAACAGCAGGAGTTGGCTCAAATGAGGCAAAGGGAGGCCAACCTGACAGCTCTGGCAGCCATTGGCCCCAGGAAGAAGAAGAGGAATCTGGAATCACCGTCCTCTTCTGCTTCAGCCGAGGTGACATAAAACAAGAAAATCTCTTTTGTCTTTTTCATTTGCACAGATTTAGCAAGGTGTTGAAAACATTTCTCAAAGGTTTTGGGCCATAATGACAGGATAGCATCACATAGTTAGTGCAGGTTTGTGAGCACATCCGGGATGTGAAGTTCACGTTCAATCACATGTACAGTTCAACTGTATCTTCCCGTTCAACCTGACAACATGCCCGGTGTGGGGGGAAAGAGACCAGTGTCTGTGTGCAGAAGTCCAGACGTGTGTGCGTTCATCTGTGCACATGCGTTGGTTATATCTGGGGGTGCAAGATCAAACTGTGGCTTTGTAGATTTAATTTATTATCAATCTCAGAATAATGATATTAAAAATGACATTAATTTATTGCATGAGTTGGGAAATTAGATCATTGATTGATTAGAGAGCCATCGCCAGTCACGACCCTAGTATACAGTGATTGTAAAGGGGAGGACGTGGTGTTTAAATGATGGTCAGTTGGGGCCCTAAGTGTTCCAAGAAAATATCCCCACTCCATTTCACCACCAGCAGTCTGAATTGTTGCTAGAAAGCTGGATGGATCCATGCTTTCCTGTTGTTCGTACCAAATTCCAACCCTACTATTTGAATGATATCTTTTCAATTTTTTGTTGTCCAGTTTTGGTGAGGCTGGGTGAACTGTAGCCTCAGTTTCCTGTTCTTAACTAACAGGCGTGGCACCCGTGTGCTCTTCCGCTGCTGCAGCCCATCTAGATCGAGGTTCAGTATATTGTGCTTTCAGAGATGATTGTCTACATACCTTGATTGTAACTTGTACTTATTTAAGTTACTGTTGCCTTCCTATAAGCTCTAAGCAGTGTGGCTATTCTTCTCTGGCAGCAACAATTTTTGTCCAGAGGACTGCCTGGTAGAAGCCCCAGAGATGGTTGTTTTGGAAAATTCCAGAAGATCAGTTTCTGAAATCCTCAGAGCAGCAGCCTGTCTGTCAGAGTTCAAAGTCAATTCAGTCGCATTTCATCCCCACTCTGATTCTCAGTTTGAATCTGAGCAGGTCATTTTGACCACGTCCACTTTCCTAACGCACTGCGTTACTGCCACATGATTGGCTGACTTAATAGTTGTGTTAGCAAGTAGTTGAACAGGTGTACTTAATGAAGTGGCCAGTGGGCAGACTTGTAAATGTGATGAATAGTTATAAATTAAACTATGTGTGTATAAATGTGTGCATAAATGTATTAATGTGTGTATAAATACCTGTCAGAAAGTTGTCGTGGATGTTTATCTGACAGCCTCCTTAATAACAGACCGTGTCATCTTGAGTTTATGTAGAACTTTGGTTTACTTCCTTGTGGAGGGCAGTATTTGCTACGGTGCTTGAACAAAAAGAGAACAGAGGACCGCACGACTCAATGGCACAGACGTTATGTAGAAAGGTTGGATATGTCATAGCTGGTGCCAGATGGATAGCGTATTACCTTGTGTTCAAATTCCACTGGGAGCATTAAGAAGATTTGCTTCTCCTGATTTTTTTTCTTCTGCATAATATATTTGTCATAAAGAAATGGCTAACATTGGCAATAACTGTCCATTTTTCTCCCCGTAGATCGCTAGAGCCAGACAAAGTTAATTTGGTGACAGGCTGTCACTGAGAGTCCACTCTAGCCTGACAAAAACCTGCTAGCAGTTATCTGAGCACTGCTGAGAAAGTAACAGAATAAGACCTGTCATTAAATCAGCCAGAGCATTACACTCATGCACAATGTCAACTGATAGATCACATGTAAACAGGTCACTAGATGAATTCATTTAAGACAATGGAACAGCCACTGTTGTTTCTCACACTGTGACTAGTAATGCTGGAGTTGCTCTTATGCTTCCTGCACACAGGGTTTTTCTCTAAAACCTTCCAGCCTGATCTAATCGAGGGAAAAAGTTCTAAAATTTTAACTAAGCGGCAACATCTCAGTCCTTGAGAAAGTGGTTTATCCTATCATCATTTCTTTACTTTTTTTGTCTGTTTACTTTGATCTCTCTTATATTGTCAGTGCCTTACAGTACACGATTACACCTTTTTTTTTTTTCTTTTCAGTCAAAAAGTAAAAAAATAAAATTAAAAAAAGTCTATTTCTTCTGGTTAATTTCAGAATCTTGCAATAAACTTCTCTCCTTTGTTTAATCTGCTTATATTATATTGGTTAACATTATTATTTAACTGAGAAAAGCTTAAAAAATATCCAGATAAATGTGAACACGTGCAAACCCATTCAGTCATTAACCTCTGCTGCCGCCAGTAACAGATGTCACACGCTCCCTTTCTTATGCCCCTCTCCCTTATCTTGCAGGGATCGGGAACAGGTCCCTCTCTGTCTGGTGGGCCTGCTTCATCAGGCTCCAGACCCACACGGCAGCGCATCACGCGCGTCAATCTCAGGGACCTGCTCTTCTGTTTGGAGAATGAGAGATTTACCAGTCGCTCCCATTTCCTCTACAAGGGCTTTCTCAAATAGGCTTGATGTCAAAGAGGAGAGGTGAGGAGGAGGAGGGGGCGGGCAGGAGACAATGAAGTGTATGGAGAGACCAACAGCTCCCACCACAGAGAGGGAGCATAAGAGACTCTTGTATGTGAAGAGGAGGAGAAAAGGCGACCTGGCACATTATAAGGTTATCAGATACACCTGATTACCTGAAATACAATAGTAGCCATATTGGATGGCCTCTCTACCTCCCTCCTCATATAATGCCTATTTCCTTTCATAGCAGTCACTGACCGAGACCCTTTTTATTTAATCTTTTGTCATGATGGTGCAAAAAAAAGAATATGTTTTAAGAAGAAGTTTTTTTTGTATGAGTAAATGAAATATTGTACAATTATGCACTGTAACATAGTACAGTTTATTTTCTAAACGTTTGTATGCATATTAGGCTTGAAAGCAATGAAATCATTTGTTTTATTAGACCCACCAAGAAATTTTATTGATGATTGATTTTTATGTGTTGGTTTCTGCAGAATTAGTTTGAACTCCAAACTGTGTAACCTACTGAGTTGCCTTCCTATGTATAAGCCATACAGCCATCCCTAAGCAATCAAGCCCCGGTGTTACTAATGAAGCCGTAGCTCACTCAATATCTGTCAACTTTACTTGATTTTTTTTCCCTCCACTGTATTTATTTACTAAACTCATGGTTAAATTAATGTCTAGTTATTTATTTAATTTCATGTCACACCTCATTTGCTTCATGTAGCTTAAATTCCAAACAAAATGTGCATTTAGGACATGTTAAAAATTAGTGTATAGCTTTCAGTGTGTGAAGGCCAGGGGTGCTCTTTGTTTTCTTTTTCTTGTTTTGAATCTGCAAATATTACTTTTAAAATTAGTTCTATATGTATTGATTTCTAAAACGTAGATTTCTGAAGGCTTTTAACCTGTATTGCTATACCAAACATACATCTACCTGAAACTCTATTTTTGTAGTTGCCCACCAACGCATTTTTACTCTTCTAATGGTGACTGACAGTGTTCTACAATCATTTCTTTACCTGCTTTTATTTTTGGTGTGCTACTGGACAGCCCCTTAGGATTTTGGTATCAATGACTTCAAAAACTGGAGTTTCTTCCTGTATATTTGTAAATGGTACACCTAGTTTTACACATGGTTTTGTATAGAATTGAGAATTTATGCATACAGCAGTAAGAAAATCACATTTTCTCTATTAAAAAGTTTGAATAAATAATGATTTTACAGTAATTGATGTGGTTGCGTCTTTAAAGTGATTTCTGAGAGTCATAAATCATAAATTTCTTATGTACTTTTTTTGTAGGGCACTAGGGGGCAGCATTGCATTATTGGAACTGGCTATACACTGGGTTTGGTAGTGATATTTCTGAGCTAAATGCCTTTAATTCCTTCTTACTCTACCTGTTCACAGATAATTCTACTTAATCCTCTAACATCTGTAAAGCCACATGTACCACACTCTGCGTGTCCCCACGGGGCTATACAACCATCTATTAAGCAAAACTCCCAGGAGCAAAACACTCAGCTCTTAACCCAAAAATGAAATCATGCACGCAGTCTGCTACCAGTCTGTCCGCTTCTTTGTGGAGCTGTCTTGTTCGAGTCCGTCTCCATTATCAGCCCACACAGTGCACTGGCAACAGCTGCCACATCAGCTGCTACATTCACTATAAACCATAGGCTGGAAGTAATTAGGCCATTCTGCCACTGGGACAGTAGCCTGATGTTACATTGATTAGGAGCAGCTTTCGTATCTGTGCCGACCAAACGGGAACAATAATATTTGGATCCATCAGTGGTTATGAACCATAGTTTCATTTTTTTTCTAATGAAAGTTGATCTGGAAGCCACTAGATGGCAATAGCTCATTTCTTCTCATTGCTAGGCTGTGTTCCTCTTAATACTTAAAATCCTGGTTACATTTGGGTGAGTTTAGAGTTCATGTGTTCATATGTTTACACCCGCAATACAGACCTCCAGTTAAGACTGCCGTTCACTTGGTGTTTTGCATAACATTTGGCATCAGAAGGAGATGCAGTCTGCTGTTAATAATATAAAAGCATGGCGCTGCTGCGAGAAAGCACAGACGTGAAGAAAAAAAAAAGGCAAGCTTTTGGCCACGAGTACAGAACCAGTGTGGCGTGACAGTCCCTCTGTCTGGTGGCGGTGGTGATTCAGGTAAGGCCTTGCCCCTTGTGCCTCAGCCCAATCCAATATTTTTCCTTGTAATCCCCCTTCCACTCCTCAACACTGCTGCTCTTTCAGAGTTAAGTCCACATAAGCTCCCACTTGAGTGCCAGAGGCAGAGCAACAACAGTGATGGCGCGGTTGCCTAGCGACGTCTCAGTCGCTGCACCTGAGGGTGTTGGGTAAACACCCTGAGCCTGCCTGAGGGAAGAGCAGAGAAGTGACATCACTGTTTCCTTCCATGACATTTATTAAAGAGGGCTGTTATTAATTTCTTACACCGACTCTTGTCATCCTTCTTTCACCCCAGGGTGAGATTACATAATAAATTGAAAACAAGTTTTGCGCGCGTGCACGCATGCTCTTGAATGCTTCACTGTTATGTAGCTGTGGGTAGTTTTGTCAGATTCCAAGATGGGATTTGACTGATCTCATAGTGCCTCTCAGCAGGGTGTTCCTCTTGCACTTTTATGATAAGCCTCCTGTCTAAAAAGTCTGTGCTTGTTTACGCTTGTAGAGGGGCTCAGTTTTAATGATGGTTAGAGGCTGATAAAAGGTCCCCTAGCCCCCATTACTTACAAGAATTTGAAGCCTATGAAATTCTTTATTAAGGTAAGACCCCTATAGCCACATGAATAAGAGGGATGTGAAATTTCTAACTTTGACGTTACTTTGCAGCCAAATGAATTCAAAGTCCCATTCATAATCCGACTGTATTCATGCTGTGAGACAAATGCAATAGTAAAAGTCAGTTAATCAATTTTTTCCTTTTCAACGCCTCCTTGCATAATGTTGATTAAGCTTTGAGCTTATGAATAAAACTCCCTCCCAGGAGGGACATAAAAATGTGATTTGAATGAACTGATGTGGCACAGTGTGATTCAGTCGCCGCACTTTATCATCCATTAGGATGCACAAACCCACTAGCCCATAACTACTTTTATTCTCAAATGAAAGAGTTTTTTTTTTTTTTTGCCCTCCCTTGAGGAAAGAAACTTTCCAATGTAACATGCAGCAACAGTTCATTAGTTTACATTTCCTCACATCACCAGTTCATGTGTGTTTGTGCCCTTGGCCCACCCAAGCTAATGCTGACTTTAAGACTCTTTTGTTATGGGGGTCATGCAGGGCAGCCTGCTTTGGCCCGGAGATACTATAATAAGGCCAGTGTTTATGAGCGCTGCTGAAATGGGTTTGTAGGCGAGGCTGAACCTGTGCGGTATTGACGCAGGGGTTAATAGCCTGTTGGCCTCTTTAATGGAGCTGGATCAGGCCAGGCAGCAGGCACTGTCAGCCCACAGAGGAAGAGCCTCTCTGTTTACAAAGTCATCTCTAATTTGAAGAGGAATAGTCACCAAGGGGTGTACATACGTTGGTGACTTGCATCTAAAGACGCACTTATGTGCCTTGCCAGACTGTTTGCAGGACAGTTTACAGTGCTTTGCTGTATACACTGATCCACTGAAAAAGTCACAAAGCTCATGTTCATTGTCTTGTTGTAATACAACATTTTGCCAGGAAATCTTTGTTCCTGACCTGACAGTCATTCGTTTCTTTCTTTGACACTACCACCCACTGCTAGTATCACACCCCAACAGCAGCAGTCTCCCCCAGTAGGGTGATGTACGGCACTACACCACAAAACCTTTGTTTTGGAGATGCTCAGGGAAAATCTCCAACTGAGATACTGACCCAGCCTCCAACCTCCCTGATGCCCCTCTGATGGAGCAGCTGCTGGATAGGCCTGAACCACCTGCTGCTGACACCTACTTATTTGCACTAGATATAAAGTAATAAGAGGCTGATGTGACTATCATTAGTTTGGCTGTATATTCAACTTTGCGGATTAATATCTTAATGGCACCCCCCCCCCAAAAAACAAACAAACAAACAAACAATTTTGAGATATTAAATTGTAAATCATGATGGGAAGCAGTGGATTAGTGCACGTTAATCGGAGACTCTGCAAATATAAAACAGAAATCAAATATTAAAATATATATAAATGACCACCAGTCAATTATAGGCACAAGCACTCACCTTTAAGCCCTGTTAAAGATTCAGAGACATGACTGAATTGTACAGAGGTTTTTTCTTTGGGTAGTCTTCACCATGAAACATGCACAAATGATGCCCTATACATAGTGTAAGTAGTCTACACATAAGACCTGAAGTGGTAGTAAAATTAATGTTATTGTTGTATCTACAAGATAAACTATGTTCCACATGTATTGTGATCAATTATTTATTCACACTAATGATGGTGCTATACATGCATTATTCATAGTAAGCTCTGGTGTTCCTCAAGTGATGCTGACAGGGGGAAATGGAGGGGCAGATGGGAATGTAAGCTTGATTGTACCCTGAAGGACACCAGAGACTGACTTGGCTGCAAAGGAATCGTCCCGTACCATTTAGAGATGTAGCCAGAGTCCTGGGGAAGGCACTTAACCTGTGGCTGAGGTGAAGAATTACATCCACTTGATTGGAACAGCTGTTCAGCTTGAGGATGCAGCTCGGATTTCCCACTGCACTCTAGCATGTAATCACACAGAGACGCTGGCCTGTGCAGAGCTGCTGAGCATCAGTAGCAGCACGTTCTTGTATGTTCTTGTACAGCTGTTAGCAACAAACAGTATCCCATGATTCATTCAAGAGATTATATTATATTATACTGTTCGTGCTTATCATTGGGAATGTGTTCGGACAGTAATTTCAGCTATTAAAAAATGTTAGAAAATGTTTTTATTCAGCTCCAAACACCTTGGATTCTCAAAATGCATTTCAGTCCTAAGTCATGTGTATAGGAATTTCTTTTACTTATGTATTAATCACATTATTTTATTGTATAATGCCTTGGTGCCACTGGATTTTAACAAGTCTCACACTCATACATTAAGACAAATGGTGGGGGTCTAGTAAGGAAGTTGGGGGAAGCAGACCACTCCACAGGAAGAACCTTTTGTCTCTTTGAGGACTCTGGGAGGTAGCAAGGGAGTGTGAACCTTAAGGTGTGAAACAGCTGTGTACTGCCTTTTGTTCCTGGAGAAGGTATTTAACTGAGAGCCATGCTAGGCTCAGGGAGACTCTGCTGCCCGTCTGCCCCGCGGTCATGCAGGCTCTCCACAAGCTTAGTTTTCAGTTCTTTGTTTTTTGATTAAAGAATGTTAGCTACCGCTCGTCTGCAGGCTTTATTTAAATGGAAAACTTCCACAACACATGTTATATTCCTTCCATCAAGCATCACCTAGTTAGGTGTAATACAGACTTTCTGTTAAATAATTTAAGTCTCAAGCCCAAACCACGTTAACTTTGTAACTCCCTTCAGAGCCACAGAAGTCATTCATCGGATGTTTTGTTTTTCCTGCTGATTAGGAGCCTACTCACTGTGACAACTAAGCAGAGCTTTGTGTGTAAATATTTAAGTACATCCGAGAATCTTACTGCAGTACAAGTGTGTTGCTGCAAAGTTTATCCAAGGATCCCAAGTATGTCTTCTTTCGGCACTGGAATCACAGCAACTGAACCTTTTTGTTGCTGTGAGGTCATTTTGTTAACCCTCTCAGGCTCAAATTAAGTTTTTGTTGCTAATGCTCAAAAGAATACCTGGAGTGGTACTTCATAACTCATAAACTCATAAAACATGTATGTGGGTTAATCAGGTTGTTAGCTTTTAACTGTTGCAAATCTGCAACGCCTGCCTTGAGAGGGTTAAAAAACAATCCCCAAGTATGAGCCCAACACAACCGGAAGTCTGCGTCCATGACTGGTTCTGTAATGCTAGGCCGGCATGTTAGCACTCAGAAACCTGTGGTGGAGAAACTATTCACACCCTTTACTTAATTAATTAACTAGCTCTATCATCAGCAAAGTCCTTCGACGAAAATATACATGAATTAAAAGCAAAAGTGCTGAATGCAGAACAAAGTGTCCTGTGACTCTTTTATTGTTGTTTAATTATTGTTAATCATGCATTAATGAAAAATGCTGTTGCTGTTTGAGGAGGAGCTCATTTGGAACTATTTGGTAACCAAGTGCAACTAATGGTTAGTTTCACTGTGGATTAAATGACTGCTTAGCTTGTAAAATCAAATTCTGAGATTCATGAGTCTCAAGTGTTCCAAACACTTATCAAAAATAATAACAAATCCACTGTCAGTTGACTAATTGAATAACTGACTTAATTCAAGAACAGTGGCTACTTCATCAGCTACATGTTTGCTAATGAAAATGAGCCAATCACATGGCAGCTCAGTGCATTTGCACATGTTGATATGGCCATGGTGACCTGATGGAGGTCAAACCCAGCATCAGAATGGGGAAGAAAGGGGATTTAAGTGACAATCAAGAGCATCTCTGAAAAGCACCACACCAGCACTCGTAGCTGATGGGGCTGCTGTAGCAGAAGGCCACACGTTTGAAAGCAAAAGGGGTCCAGCCCTGTTTTAGTAAGGTGTAACTAATGAAGTGGCCATTGAATGTATATTTTTTGTACATAAATCCCACTTTACAAAGTACCTACTAATAAATATATTAAACTGGATGTACTTTTAGATGTATTCAGAGCTCTTAATACATCTAAAAGGGAGGTATTGTACTTCCAGTTTACTATATTCATTACTAGCTACTTTATAAATTGTGATTTCTGTACAAAATAATAGAATAGAATAATCATTTTATAGTATTTGTCATAATGAATGATACTACATTAAAAGGATCACCAGTCTGATTACAGTTAATCTTTTGGGTACATGAATATCTTTCAAAATGACTCACAATACAAATACTATTTGTCACGTTTGACATTTCATTCAAATCCAAAGCGGCCAGCTTCACGGTGAACACCAGTGTTAGCAAGATTCATCTTTCAAGCACCTGTTTCTCCCCCCAGGGCCCGGACTACTTGTATACAACATAGCCTTTATTTCTCAGAGGTACTTTTAATATTTGGATAAATTGAAGTGCCTGCTGTGAAGATTATTGTACCACAGTCTTTCAAATTAGCATTTATGAGTTTTGAGGGTTATCATAATTCATCACAACGCACCCTCTTAGTTCATTCTGCTTAAATAGCCCATGGATAAGAAGTAAAATGCTAATGAGTAACTAGTTGTCGTATAAATGTAATGAAGCGCGGTATATACCTCTAAAATGTGGGCTTATAAAGGGAGTCAGTGCACATAGTTACTCTGTAGCACTCTAAGTTATATTTTAAGATTAAAATGTTTCTTTTATTTATAAGACATGCTGAGAAATACTGTTTTCAAATGCTGTTTCAAAGTGCACTGTTTGAAGCCTGATTGCTGAGGGAACCATGTCTTGGTAATTGTACAGCGTCTACACTGGATCAGTCATCCGTATCCTACGTGACTGGTTGTAGGTATTTTCTCCCCCACTTAAGCAGAAACATCAAATTTATTCTGCTGCTTTGATCTCATTTTAGACAGAGTCCTGAAATAGCAGCAGGCTCAGAGTGGTGTCAGCAGAAGCACAGCCAACAGAGCCTGCCCGTCCTGCGTGGTACTTGTGCTGAATAACAACATTAACACTTAACTGTGAACAGTTGATCACGCAGCCGGCAACAGAACCAACATCCGGTCATGTTTTTAAGATTGGACTGTTCTCAGCACCTGCCCAAGAGACTCACTAGCTGTATGGAGAGGAAATGAAAAGAGCCAGGCTTGGACATGTTTGAAGAAGAGAACTTTATTTACAACACACAAGGCACCGGCAGCAAGCCAGCAGCAAAGCTCTCAGTCTATATATGCCATTTATCAAGGGGGTGGGGGTGATAAACGGGAGTTTGCTTTCTTCTTTCACGCTGCACTTTGGCCACAAGCAAACCTAGTGAACTTCTTCTAAGCCCATCAAAGATCTCTCCCCTGAAGTTAATCATCCTTTCTGCCACCCGGCTAGGACCAACAGGACTGTTTAACAATTTGATTATTATGTCAGGGCAGCAGAGCCCACTGTTGATGGCTCTCTTATGCACACAGGTCCACAACCCTGCTGGGTTCATAGAGGATTTCATTATTGTACTACAGAAAAAGGTTAACTTAGTTTTATGTTCTCATTACTGGGATACTCAGGGAATCAAAGCACCTCTCATTAACTAGTTCAGCGTGTTCCATCAGCTCTGCTCACCTCTACCTGTCTTCTTCACCTCCTCATTGCCCAGCCCTCTAATTTCTGGCCACAGCGGGCCATGAAGCATCACTCTTTTTAACACCATCATATTTAATCTTTTTTTCCCTAACAATTTTCTTAATGTTATGCATTGTTCTTACTTGAATCTCACTTCCTCTGCTGACCTTCTCCTCCATCCTACTAATCACCTCTCAACACGGCCTACCTGCATCTTGCCACCACCTCATTTTTCTCGCTCTCTCTTTTTGCCTGGCTCTCTGAGTTCTCTCTGGGTGTCTCATTAAAGGCGCTCTATCTAATGAGATTACGCCGTGGGGATTAATGGTGTGGCTAATTGATAGACACACAGCCAGAGAGGATTAAATCCCTTTAAGTCCCCAGTGGGCTTTTTGGCGCTTCAGCTGACTAATTGAAATCACAGGAATGGACACAAATATACTTCCTGACCCCACACACTGCTCTAACAATCCGTCCTCTATGATGCAATAACATGTATAGTGGGTATGTTTCTTTTCTTTTTTTATTAGAAAATGAAGCCATATCCAAACAATAAGGTCAAAGTTTAACTGCATAATCCCCCGGGGAGGCTGGTTTCATGACGCTAACACTTAGAAATACATTATTCCACAGTGAAAAATGAAGTAGGTGTAACAATTCCGAGTGCAGATACAAACCAGTCGATTCAAATGCAAATCAAGGTGGAAAAGCAGTGAACTTAAAGCTAGAAGAGTCCTTTCATATTTTAAATCATAGTAAAAAAAGACAATCCTGATGAAAAACCAATGTGTGCTGCTTTCAGCGCAACATCAACATCAGCGGTCAGTAGGCATGGGTGCACTGGTGCATTGCTTTCTGCCACAGTGCTGTTTTTGGTACTGTCATAGGGTCTTATGGCAGAAATCTATATATCCAATATTTACAGAGCACTTTAGAAATAAAGTCGTACCAATACTGACTTGAAAGGAGAACTATCATGCTCATTTACAGCTGCATGTCTTTATTCTTGGAGTCTAATAAAGTAGGTGAGAGTGGTGCAGCCGCTCACCACAGGGTCGGTCTAAAACCATTTTAGTTCCTCTTCTCTAAGGGAATGCACAACTTTCTTCTGATTGGCTGCCACTGAAATTTAAATATCCTGGTAACGACAGATGGCTGCCCCTCTCTGAGCCTGGTTCTGCCAGAGATACTTCCTGGTAAAAGGGAGTTTTTTTTATTCCCACTGTTGACACCCGTCCTAAATAAGATGCCTTATTTACCTCCAAAAAAATGATGGCACGCTTTCAAAACATGTGTTGTTTATTTTCTGAAGCGCACATTCAGTATCTAGATGAATGAATAAAAGAATTGCAGCACACTGATTAATTGAACAACTATCAGCAGACGTGGCTAATGAACGTTCCAGTGTCCCAAGGCCAGAAGCCAACAAAAGGAACACATCTGTCACAGACAATACAGACTGAAATGGAAAGAGCATGTCTTCATACACTAGAAAGAAAAAGAAAAAAAAGTATAGATCAAAGTATTTTATGGAATAAAAAAAAAAGTATAAGCAGGCATCTTAAAAAAAACAATTATATGCTTCAACAGAAGACAAAAAAAATAAAACATAAATACCCACATATTAAAAACGAATGGGCCAAAAGATCCCTTAAGCTCACCGTAGAGCCACAGAGAGAGAGAGAGCAGCAACTTTTATGTCAATACTTCAAAAATATGTATCTTACAGTATTTTTATTTTCTCAGTGTCTTTTTACAGAGTATATTCATATAGCTTCTGCAGACTATTTTCACATTCTCACCACAGAGTAACAAGTGCTTGGAGTAAAACATTTGGAGAAAAAAAAATCATGCACCTTTTAATACATTTGTTGGGCTATAAAAAACGGGAATGTTCAAGGCGACCCCCCCCCCCCCCAGAAAAACAAACAAACAACCCCCTCCCCCCAAAAAAAACCAAACCAACAATCTTCCTCAGACACCTTTGTTCCAAGTCATTTCAAGTTTCTTGTTCTTACACTGATTAATCAGATCATGCCTACGTAAGCTTTACACTGTGGAGAAAGCAACACAAAAACCATACAGGGCAGGCAAGTGTCTCAACATATAGGCTCTGAAACTTGTGTGTCCACAGAGGAAAGGCAGGCATTCTCCACTAAATTAGAAACCCCCCCCCCCCACCTGTATAAAAATGGTCTCACACAAAGTCAGCGTCGGGCGCTGCAGTTGTGTTGACAACGTGAAAGTTGGACTTCAGCGGAGACCTTTGGAGAAGAGGGTGCTCTTCCCTCTAGCGACTCTTAGTGGGTTCCTTCAGGCCATAATTTGTTGGGTTACGATATCCGATGGTATGCCCTGGCTGTGTCCTTCCCTCCTGGGACTGGCGGCTGGGGTTGTTTCATGTGCACCACTGTGAAAAAGAAGAGGAGATTGACAGGCAGGGCCGGTTTGAGGAGCGCAGGTTTGGGGTGGGGTTGGGGGGTGGTCGACGGGAAATGGGGGAAGTGTCTCCACTGTACTGCACGAACGGCAACCGATCCTGAGATAGCAGGAGTCTGATACAAAAAACACACCACAAAAGGCACTTTATAAAATGACAGTGCTTCTGTTCTAAGGAAATTCAAGTTGACAGAGTTAAAGAGAGAGTCAGAGAGCGTCTTCCCCAAAAACATACTCTTCAGCGTGAAACTAAAGCGAGAGACATTGTTTCTTTTTAACAATGAATCCAAGCACAAATTCACTGCTCCTGTCTCTCATGACCGCCTTGGGACATCCGGATCCAGCGCAGTGAGAGATAAACAAAAGAAAATTAAAATGAAAAACGAAACATCACACTACAAATTTGCCACAACAAAAAAAAAATTTAATATATAAAGCCAGAATACAGTTGCGTTGCAGCGGAATTCATGTGTGCGGGCCTGGTTGCTGTGAGCAAACGGATGCAGCCCATGTATGGGTCCATTCCTCACATGGAGCCTGCGTCGTGTAGTTGGCCACTCCTTGCTGCTTTTACAGCAACGTCCATCCAGCCGGTCCCGCCTCTCCCATCTGCAACCCCACCCAGCCCCGCGGCGCCGCTCTCAGTCATCGTCCCCTCCTCCGTAGAGGTCAGCTAGCTTCTTAAAGCGGGGGCCCCAGTCGTTGAGGTAGTCGTAGTCCTGGTCCCCTGAGCTGGTGGAGTTGAGCGAGCTGACAGAACCAGCGGTGGAACCACTGCCCTCGTAGTCAAACACCAGCAGGGAGTCGTAGGGAGGAGCGGTGGGGTCGTTGTCTGCTGCCCTCAGACCCTGGAGGCACAAAGACAAGAAAGGCTGAACTCCCACTCTGAGCACCTCCTCTTTATCTGCTCAATTAGTAAAACTGGGCTTAGGCCAATAACTGCTGCTCATCAGAAATATAATGGAGGAGCTCGTTTTTCACATAGCAACAGGTTAAGTGTGCTAGACTGTAAAAGGTGCAATAAAATGAAAAATAAAATCTCATCTGGCTCATTCGCCCATGAACACTTTAATGTTGCATCACAGCCTGAATTCTATACACTGAGAGCAAGCACGTTTAGCGGTGCCCCTGACGATGCCAGTACAATCAAGTACACATGTAAACCAATAATATGTAATGAACTATTGTTGGCCATTAAAAAGATTATGTTTCAAACTTCAAAACCACTGATGTGTAAACCCTTTTATAACACATCAACGAGGCATTGTTAATTCCAAAATAAACACAGGCGGCTATGAGAACACGACACCAGAGCTTCAGAAAAAAGGTTTTTAAACTTGGACATACATCATTTATGAAGTCGCCTATGTCTCCAGGGTGGGGCAAACTGGGTCTGACAGGGTACTGCGACTCAGCAATCACAGGCCTCTCATCCACCCTGCGCACCCCTGTCGGCTTGTTGATGATGTGGTCCAGAGACTCCGGCTGCTGCAGCTGGCTCAAGTCGTAGTCCTGCATAAAATCCACGGGGGAAAACGGGTGAGGATTAGAATAATCATCATAATAACCTGCTTTCTAACTGCAAGCTCATGTAATACTGCACATTTTTTATTGGGAACAGGCTCATTGTACAACTTGGAATGTAGTTGTTGGGCAGGTCTCTTTGCCAAGACTTTGATGTACACTCATTTTACATCAGTGAGAGCTGATCCGCTGTGAAACTGTGCTACTGGGCTTTCTAATGTTTAAGCTCTTTTCTAAACCTGCAGCTCGGCAGACTCAAGCTGTGCAAATCCAGACTCCAAAGTAATTCTGTACTTTTACTGCATATTGAATGTCATACTGTACTGTTTTAAGAGCCAGTACATGCTTCACACTGATCAGAAATGATGCGGTATGGCGTCAGACGCCCATCAGAGAGTGACTTTTGAATGTGAGCATTTTCCCCGGAGCTGTTTCCGTTTCTTTTTTTGGATCCAGCTGTGAACTTCCATTGTCAACGAGAACAGAACAGCACACACAGATTCTGTCCAAAATCTGCTTAAATGGAACAAGTAGCATTAACGCTAGCAACTATTCATAGATGTAGCCCCCTAGAGCTATTCATGGCGATATACTGTATACTGCTTTATGTGCTACTATCACATTTCTCTGTTAAAGCGTGTTCCCCAGTGTGTCATCCGCTCCCTCATCATGTAGGTGATAATGTAGGTAATATCTGTTCCTTTGGCTTCATGAGAAACACAATAACTCCCTTTGCTGAATTCATGTGCTTAGTAATCTGAGCACACTGTAAACTTGTAGTTCCAGTTTATGCTCATTTCATTGATGATGAACTGGAAAACTAAATGACGCACAGCCGATGAATGTCCTGTGATTATTACAAATACGTTTACAGCTCTGACATTTTCAAGTTTTTTGTTAAGAAATAAGTAATTCAGAGCTATAAATATGAATATGACTGGCTGATAAGCTCCCTGTGTTGCCTTCAGAAGTCTCACACAGGTGTGGGACAAGATAGCTGAGCTTAGTAAAAAAGCATGTTAAAAAAGGCATACTTCATAATATATTTATGAATTAATCAAAGGCTTCATTGTCGAAAGATTGTTTTAATTAAAAAATGAAAATCTGATCTGAGATAATGGTGTGGAGTAGGTGTTTATGGGCAAAAAGAAAAGAGTGTCATAAGTGGAAGGACAGACTGAAAGCGTGACTCACATTTGGAAAAGTGTATTTATTCTCCATAAAGTTTATCCTCTTATCCTCTAATTTTACTGTTGTGCTAGCTAATCTTCTGCGGCCTCTGACTTTATTGATTTTTCTTTTAGATCAAAGAATGACCCACTTGAAGACCTTAAAAAAGCAAAGAAGTCTTGCTTTCAGTTTTTGTCAGGAAATGCTAAAGTTGTGCTAAAAAAAAAGCGCATCAACAATATTTTTATTTTTCCTCAGCACATATTAGTCAGTGGCTTTTGCATGTTGCAATCTACTTGATGCTGTCAGAGGCTGAATTACTATTAAGGTTACATCATGTGCTAAAGATCTCAATGAACTCGAGTACGGTACAACATAGGGCTGTTTGATATAACGATATATATCGGATATATATCTATCGTTTCATTTTACGCTATCGTTTGTTTCGAGGTGTTGCAAAATAAACTGTTTACGGCAATATTTTTTCATCGTTTTGATGGTCACTGTAGTGGCTGTATTAATTTCTTAAAGTTTTCTCTTTCTCTTATATTTAATATAACTACACTACAGACAGACAAGCGACTGTTTTTATGCGTTGTCGTTAGCAACAGCGATGGTAACACCTTCGCGTGTCCGCTTGTTTATGTTCCAGAGAGTGATCCGTACAGCAGAACGCTGCTGCAGGATTGCTCTCCCCCCGCTTCAGGACACCTACACCAGGAGATGCCGGACTAGAGCAGCGCAGATACTGAAGGACCCGTCCCATCCTGGCAACAAACTGTTCCAACTTCTGCAATCTGGTAGAAGGTTCCGCATCTTCCGGGCAAGGACAGAGAGACTCAAGAGGAGCTTCTATCCCCAAGCCATCCGTGCCCTAAACACACACACCCGCCCTCTCACATCATCTATAATTGACTGAGACAGGACTCTTCCAGACACTAAACCAAGGCACAATGTACATTTCAATTCCTTTAATTTTAAATATGTTTATATTGTCTATCCTGTAAAATAGTCAGATCTATTCATATTAATGTACAGAATTCACCTGCTTGCTGCTACTACTGCACATTCACCCAGTGTATATACTATATATATATATATATATATAATATATATATATATATATACATATACATATATACATATATATATATATATATATATATATATATATATATATATATATATATATATATACATATATATATAATACATATATATATATATATATATAACAACAAATATAATATACTATACATATATATATATATATATATATTATATATATATATATATATATATATATATATAGATATAATACATATAATATAGATATATACACATATATATATAATATATAATATATAATACATAATAATATATACATACATATATATATAATACATATATATATATATATATATATATATATATATATATATATATTAGGGGTGCAACGATACACAAAATTCACGGTTCGGTTCGGATACTTTGGTGTCACGGTTCGATATTTTTTCGATACAAAAAAATGTTCATGCATTTTTAATTTGTCATTTATTAAAATTATAAATATATATTTTAACTCAAAAGTACAGTTTTTAAATTTAACCCTAACCCTTGTGCGTGTTTTTTATTTTGGACCACTTATGTGCAGCCCTGGTTATTTAGCTCATCATATTGCAGCCACAGAAATTCTTTTGTCCATGAAACCATAAAGCTGCACTTTCTTTTTGCCTTATAGTCTGATTTGTCATAACTTCTCCGTTTTGTGGTAAGCTTTTCTTTGGCTGTCACTTCTTCACCCTGACCTGTCTTATTTGGCTCAGCAGAACTGAAATGCTTTTACACACTCACTCACATAAGCTCAGCGTTATACTTGTATAACTATGCATGTGACAAATAATAAAGAACCTTGAACCTTGAACCTTCCACATAAACCTTTCACAATAAAGCTCAAGATCCTGTTGAGACCTTTCAAAATAAACTGAATCACGTGAAAGAGCAGATTATTTACGGATGAAAAGTAGAAAAGAGCTGCCAGGTGCTAAAAAATAAACTTTAGAACAGGCTTTTCCCCGCAGCACGCCGTGTAATAAATACTCACAAAGAAAATGGCGGCCGTTACAATTTATGTCTAAAAATGTATCGTTTCATGCATCGGTTAAAACACTCGACTCCAGCTACATGACGTGCAGCTGGAAACAAGTCGAGCTGCCCGAGATTCACAGAATTTACAGAAAATGTTACATTTTGTGATTTATATCGTTATCAGGACGATAGAATTCTCACATTGGGATATGAGATTTTGGTCATATCGCACAGCCGTAGTACAACAAGTCGATTTGTAAAACTTCTTCCCTCTCAGATATTTCATCATTAACTGTAAATAGTGTTATTGCAAAGTGGAAGTGTTTAGGAACCACAGTAAAGTGACAGTGACCACGTGAGTTACAGGGCAATGACATCGAATGCAGAGGTGCATAGTACTTAAAAAATGTTCTGCTGTGTCATTAACTTCCTTGTCATTATAGTCAGCTCAAAGATTGTGTGCCAGGAGCTTCATGGCAGTGTTCTGCTCTGTCGAGGGGTGGAGGGGTTGTAGGTGTGGGTGGTTGGGTAGGCGCTCTGTGTGGTTAGGCTTTCCTGTGTGTGCCCTGGCACCCTCACTGTGCCGGCTGGTGTCATTCCTGGGCTTTCGGTCTATTTGCTGTCTCCCAGCTCCTGAAGAGCTGTGGACTCCTCCTCCTGGCTGTCCGTGCTGCCTGAGTGGGACTGGGATGGGCTATCTGGCATCTGCTGGGTCTCGGTGGGGCCTCGGGCACTGGTGGAGGCATGTTCCTTCTTCCTGCATGTTTCTGGCTCGGCACACTGGTGCCCGCCACAGCTTAGTGCAGAGTTAGTATAGTTTTGTATTTTCTGATGAGTTTTTAATTTCTATTTAATTTTGACTTTTTGTTTTTTTTGGATCACTGTTGTTGCCTGTTGTTGTGTCCGTTTATTTGTCTAACCCTGCTGAAGTATTTGGTTTCTAGGTTTCATTTTGCTCTCTTTGAAGAGAGGTGAATGTTGGGTGGCGAAATAGAACAGCAACATAGAGACCCTAAACTTCTGATTGTAAATATTATTACTTATATTTTCATGAAAACCACAACTTAATTATTCTTGCAAATGTTTTACTGGAAAAAATGCCAAATGTTTGCAGGGTTTAACCTCAAGTATGAATGCTTATCTTTCTTATGCATGAATGCATGATTTCACAGAATATTTTATTGCCCAGTCATGCTGAAATAACATGAATATTCTGAATCTGTGGTAAATATTCAGCTGTGTGTTGTAATTGTGACTGCCTTTCCCTGTTTTCTGACATTTGCTAGACAACGCTATTAATGATTTAATCAATAAGGCAGGACACAGGATGTACACTCAGTTGCTGTGAATCCACTGGACAATTATCTACGCTGTTCTCAAACAGATGCAACTGGACATCACACAGTCTTTGTACTGTGGAGCTGGCAGGTTAAACACTGTTTAATGTCTGATCTGACTGCAGTGGACATATGCACCCCCTTAGTGTAATGTCTAAGGGCTTCTGCACATGCATGAACAGGTCTAGAGCTTGTTTCACTTGTTACTTGTCAATGCACTGTAGAGACCAAAGAAATTTCCCATGTGTAAAGTCAGATAATATAACAATACATTTCAGAGGATTTTAAGTCAGTAAACACCATCACTAAACAAAAAGCTGAAAATTCATGTTTCACAGTACCTGGTCCTCCTCTCCTCCTCCCTCTTCATCATACTTGAGGATGTTGTCCCTGACGTCATCCTCAGGGTCAATCAGCAGGGGCTTCGCTTGCCGCTCCTTTTCCCTGCGCTTCATCCACACCACAAACAGCAGAACCATGCCTACAATAAAAAAGATTATTTCAAAACGAAGAACAGCAACTGTTTGCCAATAATTAACATTGATTTTTGTTAAAACCATGCAGCTCTCAAAGATCAGACAGTATTTGTTGTACTCACTGAGTAGTATGATGATGCAGATGAGTATGGCAATGATGGCCCCAGTGCCAAGGCCAGCAGCTGCCACGGCTCCCGTGGCACTACAGTCCCCATTATCATCACACGGACACACTTTGACCCTGATTACAGAGCGGTTGGACAGTGGAGGGTTTCCCGAGTCTGACACAATTATGGGAATCTCGTACACACTTGCTTCCAGGTAGGGAATCCTAAGCCGCAGCTGAGCATAGTCACCTGCAGAGCAAGAGTTAGCATGTCAAATGTAATAGCAGTATAATTAAAAATAAACAAGTGTGGATTGTTTGGAAGGGTTCTTAGGAGAACATGGCAGCACAACTTAGGTTTAATAAACTGAATAAACTACAAGACTGGAGATATTTGACCATAATGCACAGTGCAGCGCAAACACCTAATGCTGTCGTACTCTCAAGCACGGTGGTGGTGGGGTGATGATTTGTGCTGTTCTGCAGCCTGGGCACCTTGAAGCCACTGAATCAACCATGAATGCCTCTGTACCAAAGTATTTTAGGCTGCTGCAATGGGCCAAAGTCCACCTTCAACCTGAATATGGAACCTTAGGAGAGCTAAATAAATTCCCCCAAACCTCAATGAACTGAACCAACGATGTAAAGTACACTGGGCCACAGTTCCTCCTTGATGACTGAGACTAATAAAGTCATACAGAAAACGATTACTTTAAGGTATTTTTGCTAAAGGCGATGCTACAAAGTACTGAAACATCTATGTTTTTTCACAGGAGTGCAACAAATCCTGTGAAAGCTTTCTTTTCCACATGACTGTACATAAAACTGAAATGTACAGCTGTATAACCTACAGCATTTATCACTCAGTCAAGCTAAGACGAGAGCCTCAGCGGGGAAAGAATCCAGGTATGTGATCAGATTTGTCCTCAAGACAACTGCTGTGATACATCCATCTGGGTGGATTAGGTGACAGATTGGATGCTCGGGGGACAGAGAGATGAATGGATCTCATTTGTCACAAACAATAGATCGTACGTCAACAGCGGATGGCACCCGCATCTCTCACTGTGAGCTTCGTGAGACATTTTGTTAAACTTGGACTTCTCTCATAGCTGATAGCGATCCCCCCGATTAATGCTGCCAGTTATTCTGCTGAGAGGTTTATGGTTTCATTCAGAATGATGATGTGTCATTTCCCCACAGCACTTAAAAATGAACCTCACAAGGGTCCAGTTCGCGAGACCAAACTTTATTAAACACAGTGTATAATGACTAATACCGCTCAGCCTGGAAATGGTCCAGTTTCGTCGAACGCTTGCAGGAAAAGAAGGCAGCTCGAAGACAAACGGCCCTATGTTGGGGTCGGCATCAGCATCGGAAGCTGTGATGTTGATCCTAGAGTTGGGGCGTGCTCGCTCGCACACTTGCGCCTCCCGGGGTATCAGCACGGGCGCGTTGTCGTTTACGTCGATCAAGTAGATCTGGAGGGTTCCTGTCCCGCTGGCTTGGGGCGAACCTGAGGGGAGGCAAGAAGAAAAAGAGAAGACAGAGAGATCAAAGGAGGAGATGGTGAGATAACAACATAGTAGTGAGGCAGAGCAGTGAAGATGAAATGATTGGAGAAAGAGAACAAAGCCCCCCAAAAAAGGCAGTTTGACGAGAACGCTACAGAAGACGGCAAAACATTCGTTCCATTTTTGCCTCATTTTTCGAGCTGATTCAGGTGTGGAACTGAGAAAATGAGATGGGCGCCAAAGAAACAACAGAAGGAAAAAAACAAGACGTTTTGTTTACAAGTGGGTGAACGTGGAGGGACAATGCTGTATACATCTGTAGTGGAGCACCGAACACCAAACAGCAAATGAAAGGACATATAAATGTTTTAGTCCTTGTATTTCAGAGAAAAGCCAAGGCGAGACTCATATTGGTGGGGAAAGCGCTCACATAAAGATTGCTGTTATCTGCACTCTGGAAAGCCTACTGGGAAACAACTCAAATGCTAACCCCTTCACTGCATCCAGAAGTACAAGCTCATAATAACTTCTTCTGCTTGCCAGACCAGAACAGAACGGAATAAGGTTAGAAGAAATGTTTTTGATGTTTATTGCATTGTTAACAGCAAAAAAAAAAAAACCTTCAATGTGGTTTGATTACAGTACTGCTGTCTTCCTGACTTAGAAATATACTTTTTTTTTTTGCCACTGTTTCACTTGATTTTGTACAACATGGTGCTGGGAACGAGCACCTCATTGTTTTTCCAAGTGTACTGCTTGCTGTCAAAAAGTCAGATTGATTTTGAAGTTGTGCTGCGGTCCGTCTCAAGCTAGAGCAACTTCAAAAGAGTGAAAATGTGTGTAATGAGGTTGAACTCTAATGTGCACGGTGTTAACTCTCAGACTGTATGTACGGCAACTGTGGCAACAGATTAAAAACGATGCTTACACAGGGCAGCATTGCGTTTGGACATGTGGACATGGTCAAGACGGCCTGCTGAAGCATCAGAATGAGGAGGAAAGGTAATTTAAGCAGGCTGGGTTGAGAGTTTCAGAACGTGCTGATCTCCTGGGATTATACTGCACAACCATTTCTAGGGTTTACAGAGAATGGGCTGAAAAAGCCTAATCACAACCAAGGCATGCAGAACACCACGTTGAACCTGGAAGCAGATGGGCTACAGCAGCAGAAGGTCATTGTACTCAAATGGCCTCCACAGTCACCAGACCTCAGTCCAACAGTTCCCCTATGGGATCTGATGGAACGGGGACTTTACATCATGGATGCTAAATAGATTAAAACGGTTGTGTCGGCAAAAGAAGTTCCAACTGGCTACTAGCATGGTGTACCTAATGAAGAGGCCAGTGAATGTAATTTAGTAATGCAATTCTCCATAGCAGTGCAACCCCCAAACTACAGATGAAGGAACCACATGCGACGCTCTGTTAAACAAACAGTAATTTGTTGTGGCCTTGGTATTCAATCGACAGCTTCCTTCTCAGACTTTCAGCGAACTGAACTAAATGACTAAAGCAGTGCTGCATAGAAAGAGTTTACCCCAGCAGTTCATCAGTGCTGTATTTTAACTTTTTTTCCACTGTCAGACAGTAACTTGGTGCATCAACTATGTAAAGGTCTGTTGCTCCGGGCCCCAAGGCTTATCGACCGTCTTGTCTGTTATGATTGGCTGGGTGCTTTGTTGCTTCTTACGCTTCGCTTGAGGAGAATAAGTAAAGAGAATTTCAATCAAAGTGGAATATATCCCCTTGTTGACACTGGACTCTAGAATCGGTAGGCAGTCAACACTTTGAGCTTAAGCTGGTGTGCTTCAGGGCAACCAATCCCTCATTTCTCACTAGAGTAAAAACACCTGGGTCCCTCCTACTTACACCCAGGGCAAGCATCTCTATTTGTAGTGGTTCAGTTCTTTGTCTTCATACATTGTTGCAGCAGCAGAAACAGATACACAGAACCTTCCCTGACAGATCCTTTTTTCTATAAGAGACATGAGCATGAAGGTCACTGCGGCTTTAGATACTTTATACAGTGCAGTGTATGAATCATTCACAATTTATCTGCACTACATACAGCGTCTGGTTGGAAAGTATCACATATATGGCATATTTAACCTTTACAGCTTCCTTCTAATGATTTTCAGTGCTGCAAATTCACAACAGTTTGCTTGTTTACATGGAGCTTTCATTTGATGTTTGCTCATTTTTAATCACCCGTCGCCCCATGCCCTATGCACATCTACATGACAGTGCAAAGATCTTGAGCCAAACCTCGTTTCTTCATATTTTGCTAGGAAAATTGCACAGTTGTAACAAATCTCAAATTCAGCCTAAAGATTACTGACATCCAATACTGATATTTGCACACAGAGATTTCTCTAAATTCTCAGACTCTTGATATTACATGCATGTATTGTAAATGATGAGATATTCAAAGTCTTGGATTTTACACTGTGAAACATTATTGTGAAACTATTCCAGAATTTGCAGATTGGCGAACCTCAGTCATGTTACTGACCTGTTGCCAGTTAACCTGATTAGCTGAAGAACATTACTCCATCTGTTTCTCTTACTACCATCTACTTATTCAGCCTTTTGATCCTCTGTCGCAAGTTTTTGAATTCAAGGTGAGTTAATATTTTTAATGCAGCAGTAATCTGATATCCTTTTTATGTGCTACAATGAAAAAAATATGGGTTTATAAGATTTGCAAATCCCTGCATTCTGATTTTATTTCAATTTTACAGAGCATCCCAACATGTTCAGAATTCACTGTGTACCGTGCACTATTCTGTGCTCACCATTTGTTTATTTTTTTCCCTATCAAAGTTTAATTTAGATTGCTTTTTCTTAACCATATCCACGGTGTAATAGCAGAGGGCGTCCTGAGGCAAATCTGTGATATTGGGCTATGCAAATAAAATCGACTTGACTTGATTTGAGAGCTGCTTTATGCAAGCCACTGCTAAGACTCTGCAATCACCCTAAACTGTTTTGTCAATAGAAACACCTTCCCGGAAGCCACAGTATAATATAATACAGATGCACCTTAAAGTCTAATCCTAATAATCCCAGTCATAATATCTGATCCCTGCCAAAGAAGGAAGAACTCTATGTGAGAAAACATTACTTGATTATGCTGTGACCTGTTCGGGTTGACGATGCGTGATAATAAAACCTTTTTGATATTGGGATCACTGGAAACAAGCAAGACTAAAAATCACACTATGAAATGGCCAAAGCTCTAACAGTTCATCCTGATAATATTGACGTTTCATTCCAGTCCTTTTAAAAGTCTTTGAAATATTCCAGTTAAAACCCCAAATCTAAGCCTATAATTCAGGAACTCTCTGACCAAATTTCATGGGAATTCATCCAACAGCTACTGAAATATGTGAATGTGAACCAAAGAGGTGGATAAGATTGCAAAAGATGGTTAAAACATGCCACTGCAACCTACTGTTACATACATGCTACTGTAAATCATAACAACTCATACAGTCAGCCTGACTTACCAGACTTACCATTGTCGAATGCCAGGAATGTTGCCTCGTACACATTGTTCTTGACATATATGGACTCCCGGTCGAGCAGGGCCATGGTGGTGATCTGACCATTGGTCCTGTTAATCTTCAGCCAGTTCGCTGGATCTGATAACTTAGAGTACCTGCATGCACAGAGATGGAAAAATAAAGACATGTCATTAAATCCAAAGATAAATACGCACATACAAGAGCCACATAATGACTTTTATACCAACTGTTACTTGAATGCCAGCGGCTCTGAATCTTTTATTTTGTTGATCCAAAGTACCCATTATCAGGTTGAATGTTCATTACCCGAGTAAGCAAAACCAGCCAAGGACCTTTAAAATATTACAGTGACATGGAGAGTGGAACATATGTTCACCGAGCTAATCATAGCTGCAGCTCATTAGCATGAAGACCGATGAAAACCCAAACCCATATGCGGAACAGCCAAGCAGCACTCTTAACAACTTCACAGCTCTTAGTACCCACACAAACGCCACGGCAGCTCTCATCGGAGTCACGGGTTGAAGCGTCCACAAAACTGAAAGTGACAGCTGCACAGCGCAGGAAGTGCCTCAGGTCTAATGAGAAATGGTTAACTCCGGACAAGAAGAACTCTCGCTAGTTGGTACTGTGAATATGTGTGTGTGTGCGCGCACACGTGTGTGTATGCGCGTCAGCATAATGACAGGAATTTGGTGTGAGAGACACAGGAAGAAAAAAAGTGGCGGTGAGAGAGATCAGAGGCTTTTTTTTTTTTCAGAATAAGCTTAGTTGGTGAAAGGGGGCTTAATTAAAAGAAGTCTGTTGAGAGCTGACACTAGTTACCCAGAGGCTCACAGGCATCCACAAAACTAACTCCACCTACAGCTAAAGATGCACACAGTTCTGGGCTGGCACACATATGAAACAGATAAATTAGATAAGCAGGAGGACAGGCAGGTGCACTCATTATCATTATGCTTTTTAACAGCTTTTTTATTTTTTCCTTGAGAAAAGCAAACAAGCAAATGAAAATAAACAGAATTTCTAGTCAAAGAAATTGTCATGCTGTGTTAGCCAAGGTGTGATGTTGCCCCGTAGGTTACATTATGGTATTTGCGCAGGATGCCTGGCACTCTCATCTCCTTCCTGTGCCAACAAGATGTCACCTCCAGCTGGCAGAGCGAAATATCTTACTATACTTCATTGGATTTTTTTTCTTCTGACAAGAATCACGCCTTAAGCTTTAACCCTAATGTATTAACATAGCTTTACTTAATACCAATTAAACAAAAAGGCGGTTAAGATTGTTTCTTTTCCCCAATTTTATAAGGATCACATCACACTGCTGCTGCAGCAGAAAGAGTCATATTACCTCTGTTTGTTATGTGAAAGACATCTGCAGATGACAACTGATTTTTATACCATCCATATCTGTGACTGGCATTGACAGTAGTCTTTTTGCAGCTCTACATCTTCCAAATCCCAAACATGGCTATCAGGATTGCTGTCATGGAACAGCTTGCTCAGAAAATCTCTCACACGGCGCTTGCATTTAAGAGGCATGGAGGATCTAGTCTCAGACGTCATGCACGTTGTTGCAGAATGAAAATGTTAGGATCCTCACTTTCTAGACAGCATAAGATGAATTGATGAAATACACCTTTAAACCTGGAACCAAGCTTTAAACTAAGATATTTATAAGTGAAGATTTAAGGACATATTATCAGCTGTGAGGGCTAATATCTAAAAATCAAAAATAAATACCAGAACACACTCCCATTAATTTAGCGTTTAGCTACCAGTTAAAGCACATCAAACAACATCATCTGGCAAGCAGACATGGCCTCACATCATCTTCATTTTTCTTTCCTCCCGTGAGGAGAGAAAAAGGCATAACATTCAGAAACATTTGAAAACACACACAATCTGGCTCCTCTCCCAACCACTGCTCACACAGAGGCCTTTCAGTCATACTTGGCGGTTCCTCCTGTGCACTTTAGCGTGTGGCTGTGTGTCTGCTCTTGTGCATTTCTCTTTCTTTTTTGTGCATATTGTGCAGGGGGTTCAAGTGAGGTCACCCAAAAGGAATAAAACAGCAGCGGCGGCAGCAGCAGCATCAGCAGTGCAGACGGGGCTGTGGTGAGCTGAGTGTCTGCTGGCACGCGGCTTTGGAGAAGACAGAAGCTCTGAGCTCCCATCAATAACAGACACGCAGACTGACGGGGAAGAAAGCGACAGGGTCGGTCGGAGCGGGAAGGAGGGATGGATGAGAGAAAAAAAAGGAGCAAAAGAGGAGTTACTTCTCTCAAAGGGCAGAACAGCTCAGCCCACTTGGTTTGCATGACATGTCTTTTTAGGAGAGGAAACCTGAGATGTGGCTATTGCTCACTTTTCTGTGCAGTATATATATATAAAAAAAAAATATATATATATATATATATATATAATAGATATATATATATATGATATATATATAATATGTATTATTATGTTTGTGTGTGTGTGTGTGTGTGTGTGTGTGTACTTCTCCCACAACCTCCCTCGCTATCAATTCAGTAACATTTCCACTGGGTTTCTCGGTGGAAGTGGCCGTCTTACTGACATTAAGAAAAATCAATCTCTCTCGTTGGAGCTGGCGATGGAGTGGAACAGTGCTGCCGGACCTTAGTGAGCATGTGGGAGTTTCTGTCACATAGGGTCAATGCCTGGATGGCATGATGCCCGCAGTGTGTCATCCCAGTTAGGAAGGATGGAGGGAGGGATCAATGAGGAGGAAGATAGGGATCTAAGCAGGGCAGACAAACAGTGTCCAACTCATTATAGGATGACCTCTTCACACCAGTCGCCTGGCAACAGGGAGGTAACTGGGATGTGGGTGGGGGGGTCAGTTGAGAATGTGACCGAAGAGGCATAAACTGTGAAGAAAGCGATCGGCTCTGATTAAACAGTGGTGACAGAGAAGACACCTACACAGTGTAGGCAAAATATTGGAGATTTACATGAATATCAAGTACTCCCTCAGTCTATTGTACAAGACTTGGACACAACACCATATATTCTGAATCTGCTTATATCCCTGGCTTTGAATATACTATATAGAAAAGTTTTCTTTTCGATTTGTTTTTGCAACTTCATAGTGGTTAGGTCGGAAAATGCATTTTATTGGGTTTTAGATGCACAAGCACAGATTTATAAACTTACAAGACACTTTCCATCCGTCTACAGCCAAATAAGATGCACAAGCTAAAATAGCTCAGTTGAAAGAGCGTCAGCCTAAAAGTACCTGTTTTTGATCCTGGATTTTAGCAGCATGTGGACTTTTTTTGGGGCACCTGTGGAATCCTGAGGTGCTTCCTGATGCATCCATTGCAGTGTATTTGTGCATGTGTGTGTGTGTTAGTGCTCAGATGTAGGTAAAAGCATTGTGTGTGCAACTGGGTGAATGAGACAGTAAAAAACTGAGTTCCCAACGTGAGTAGAAAGGGTATACAAAAGGGTATACACTTTGTAGTTCTTACATCCTGCATGGAGTTTAATGAAATTCTTAAACAAATAATTTTTCGGTGTTTTTTCATACATAGGTTGATGTGGTAACAGGCTAAAAACCGGGGGAATAAATAGCAATAAAAACAAAAGAAATAAACAAGTACTAAATATTGGCATCAGTGCAGAATTTGACATAATTTAAGCATTTTAAGCTAAAGCGATGTTCTTTAAAGTGCGATACCTGACAGTCTGGTGAATAAAGTGGTCCGGGTCTTGAGCCGCAAACACGGTAAGAGTGGTCCCTGCTGGCACACCTTCTTCAAAGCGAATCATCTTTGGGTTGACGGGGAAGACAGGCGGCTCATTCACATCCTGCACAGAGATGGTTACACCTGCTGTGGACTGAAGCGAGGACTGGATGCCACTGGCCAAGTGGGCCTGGTTGGACACGACCACAGTTAGCATGAAGGCACGATTCATCTCAAAATCCACGGGCTACAGAAAAAAAACAGAGACGGGAGAGAGACGGAAGGGAGAAAGCGATACAGAAAAGTTAATGATGAGCGATTGGGGGAAAATGAGCGTGGCTGATTGCAAAATTAGTTCTAATTTTTAACCAATTTAAGAAATGACATATAATTAAGCGAAAAACAATGCGCAACTATAGTCCTCAGTCTGGCACTTCACAGCATCTGGCACTTCACAGCAGGTGGAACGGTACAAGATGCGGAGCTGAATAATAAAGGGAATGACTGTATGGCTCCGTTTTGAAGAATTATCAAACATTCGGCATATCAATCAGGGCGGCGTGCAGAGAAAGGAGGCTTATTTTTTACCTTGACCACTGTCACCATGCCCTCATTTGTGATGGGATTGGTGCGGATGGTGAAGTGTCCAGATGGGTCTCCGCTGACAATGCGATAGACTGCGTTCCAGTTAGGACTGTGGGGCTGATCCCGGTCCACCACTGTCAGGTTGGTCACCACCACGTTTACTTTGTTCTCTGGAACCTCCCCGGAAAACTATGCGGGACCAGGAAGGAAAGAAGCACGTGAACCACGAGGGAGGGGAGGATGGCAGAGGAAACATTATGCTAATACTCCTCAAGCAGTCAGCTAATGAATGTTAATAACTTGATTTAGTGAGATTTTAAGCACATTCTGGAGCCATCATCAATCTTTTAGCATTTTACATAATTGTTATTATGAAAACAAACTGCTTTTAGGGTCAAGCCAATAATGCTCATTACATTAATACATGAACTGAAAGTGGAAGCAAAACAAATGGGGGGGAATTAGAAAGACAACATAGGGGAAAAGAAAAAGATAAACCAGGAGACATATTTGTTTGAATGTGGTTAATAGAGAATCATATCTTCCATTATGTTAATGCAGTCCCGTATTCCTCCCAACGCTTGCTCGTATGAAACTCTTTATTTAAACTAATGGATTTGTTCAATTAAGTGTTTACCCATTCAATTTAGATTCTGTGCATTCACCAAATCTAGGTCTTAATAAGCAATTAGATAAGTACTGTAATTAAAGCAGCAGTAGGAATAATCTTTGGCTAATGATCTTCATTATATTGCAATCTGAAACAACTCCCCTCTGAACTAACTCTGGAGGAAACTTGGTGACAGCTGCAGAGCCGAAAGAAGACTTTACGGTGCAATAGGATACAGTTCCCCGTCTACTGGGATTGATCTGGCTACTGAGCACACGAAGGTAGTCACACACGCACATGCAGCGAAAGCTCTTATGTCACATGATAATCAGTGTTTCCTCTTGTGAAGCGTTAGCTTGTTTATGGTGTGAGTCTGCCAGCTGCTGTTCATTTTAATGGCTTCATCATCGTGGGATTAAAGCAGCATCCAAACCAACAGATTCCTCTCTTCCACTCCCTCCCACCCTCCTTGCTTCCTCTTCTCCCGTTCCCCCTGCTGGGCTGATAAGCACAAAACAAATTAAATATGCACTCTGAGTCCCCGGTGTATGGGCTCCTCTATTTTCACCCTGGGCTTTAGCCTAAACGCCACCACAAACCTTCCAAGCTTGTTTGGCCACGCTGTCAGAGAGCCAAATGGAATATGCTCCCTTGGAGGCATGCACAATGCTCCTGACTTTAGAGGATGGCCCATTCTAAATGGCCACTCTCCGAGATGCAATGTGGCCCTATTGATAAGCCACGAGAGACACAGACTCGAGAGTTTCCGTAGGATTTTTTTCTTTTTGAGTTACAAGGAAAAGAAGTTATGATACTTTTATTTCAGTTATAGAATAAAAGGTTTTTGTTGGTGTAACTAATTCTGGCGTCATAAGGATTCACACACAAACTTCATTTGCTCTTTCTTTTTAAACATGAATTATTCTTAGAGGCTGATCTTTTGAAGCCGTGACTATTTTGGCTTAAAAGCAAGATAGGCCACTTCAGCTACGAGTGACAGTTAGCGGGATGAAGGTGAATACTGAAACATCTACAGGTGTAAATTATGAATCACACAGTTTATCCAAACCGTTTGCATTCTGGCTGCATGAAAGATTTATAGTCAATAGCTGTGCACTACATCCTCTGATTTTAGGCTAATATGCTTACATTAATACGTTTAGCTCAGAATAAAAGTAAGTCTAATGGCTCAGCAACCTATTATTTCTAACAACAATAGCCAATCCTATCTTTTATTAAGCTCTTACCCAGTATGAGACATCCTTTATATCACGGCTAAACAGCGATGTAGTGTTTATCACAGGGATTGAACTACGTATTCAGTTCCTGTCCTTCTCTTTGTGCTCTCCCTTTGCTTGTCAGGAAAACAATGAAGAAAACGTAATGATGGGCGGGCTAAATTTACAACCATTCTTGGACTCACACATCAGCTGTACAAGTTGTTAATAAGCATACTTTTTTTCTTTAATTCATATTTTCTTTTAAATGTTGTGTACTATACAAACATTTAATGTGGTAGTACACACATAGTGAAAATGCAAAAACCTGACATTTTAAAGTTACAATGTGTAGATTGCATAATCCTAGCTACGTGCTACAGGGAAAATGTGTTTTAGGCAGCCAAGAGAGATCATAAACATTAAAATAGTTAGACTGTACCCTACAATGGCCGTGGCCACCCAGCGTGTGTCTGCTACTGCTTGGAAGGCTCTCATTCAACCATTTACCACAGCTATCAGTGCTCGGTGAGAAGCCTCCACATCTGTTTCCTCTGGAAGAAGCTAGAAAACTTAAAAATAAAGCAGGTATGATCCTTCATATCTTAAGTTTGAAGGTGCAGGCACGAATTTTAATGTCCCTCCACGGTATGTGAGCATCTACAAGTTCTCTTGTCCTCTATGTTTGGCGTACTACTATGTGGCTGGTCTCTACTCACTTCCATAAACACTATTAGTTAGAAGAGAGATATCCTTGCCAGTGACTATATTCAAATATGTGGGGGAACGTGGTGGCTTCCACAGATGACAAACCTGCTACTGCAGTATTTAGTTTTAATAAATCAATTTTAAGTTTGTGAGAATGCATTAATTTATTGGAAAATACAATTACACACTGTTCTATGTCTATTTATGAGTAAAGTATCCTGTTTTCAATTAAATAACCTAAAAATTATTGACTGTACATTTAACTTGCAAAGCTAGAGCAAAACAATACTAAAGAGCTGTTTGTGTCCCTGATGGTGCACTGAAAACAGTTCCAAATACTGATAAGACATGGTATAGTACACATATTACATGACTTAAGACAAAACCCTGGCAGCTATGATCTCGCAAGTACAAATTTATGCTAAAAAAGGTAAAATAAGGGAGCTTTTAGAAATAAACTACTCAGAAAGTGAAGATGTGATGCTACACGTGCTGCAGTCAGTACAGTAGGTAGGCTATGGACTCAGAGCCACTCTGCTTAACAGTTTGTGTGGCAAAACACCCATTTTAAATTGTCCTAAACATACTTAAAAAAATGTTCTGTAAAATTCACACTTCTCCTAATTATTGTTGAGTCAGTGCTTGATTGTGACTTCACGAGGGTGTACACTTGATTAAATTGTTTGATTAGACCTACTGTGGCAATAGCATTGTCTTTTAGTTCATCACATATTGCCAAACATAGCAGTGACATTACACATTCAGGCACATGTGGTGAAATGAATAAAACATTTTGGTGTTTTTTTTGTTTTGTTTTTTTTTTCCAAATTAGATGCAGTATATCGGCTTGGTTTACACCCCCGCAAGCAATTTCACTTAATTAACGTGCTTATGTTTTCTCTATGCCTCCTGCAGAGAGCAATGAATTCTTCTCGGGTCTGTCATAGACAAATAATTACTGAAGCGCTCTAAGTCATGTTGGGAAGCAAAACAAGTAGTAGAGACTGACAATGCAGTGGAAATGGCATCTGTTGGAAAACAACTTCTCTGCTGTGGCTGTTAATGTGTTAATGTGCTGCGCTGATACATTACAGCACTAGAAACACACACCAAACTATGGTGAGCTCAAGCTTTACTGACAAGCTCAGACATATTGTTGCAGTTGTGCAGGAGTGTTGTAGGCAAACTGTGTGTGGATGTTGAGGTGAGAGTCAGGGTTGGGAAACTTTCTAAACGTCAGATCACATCCTCGCTTCAGCAAACTAAAACAAATTCTGGCTTTTTGTAGCCTTTAAATAGTCCAGTCCCTGCTGAGGAAAAACAACATATATCACAGTTTGTATGGGTTAAAAATGTATATACATGGGCTTGCAGTTTTGTGGTAAAGGAGCCAGAACCGCAGACGGGGAGGAGGGGGACGTAGACCCATTATGTGTAGAGCGGCAGCCTCGTTCATTGAGCTCTACCTCTGACAGCTGGGGAGCTCTTATCAGAGCATGCGGCTGGAACTGTACTGGCACGCACGCTGACGACGGCCCCGCTGAGGAGACTGGGATCACAGTGTGTGACACTGACACACTGTTTGCTCTGCCTTTGAGCTTTGCTGAAAACAGCATCTGTCTCTCTTTGGAATCATAGAAATCCAAATGTTTACATAAAGCGCAGCCATGGCCCTGTAGGTCTATCAGACTGTAGTCAGCGTTTGATCCTGTTCCAGTCGTACAGTCATTCGAACTCTTAAAACTAAGCAAATGTACAACTAACAACACAAGCACTTGTTCTAGAAAAGTGGGCCCGCTGTAGCGTGTCTTCCTGTCAGGCCAGTGTGGCGGTGTAAGGGATTGGGGGTGGATGCCTGCAGATAAATTCCAACTACACGAGGCAATGTGAGCAGGAAAAGAAAACTGATCTCATTCAGCTCCTTTTCCTGCCTCTCTTTAATCTCCTGTCACTCTCCTGTATTCTGCACCAATTTCTCCTCATAGATCTGTCCTCATCTCAAAGTGTTGTACACGGTCGCATTTCCCTCCTTTTTTTTATGCTTCGGTAGCACTAACATTTCAAGAGCGCTAACGCTGCACTGTGTGGTTGTTGACACTGACCAGACAGTGTGTTTTCAAAACAAAAACGTTTGAACGTACGTTTTCACTTACAGGCTTAACAAACAGCATGTCTATAGAACAGCTGGTTAGCATGGCAACTAAATATATCGCTATTAAAATGTCAGATGAGGGTCGAAAGGCAAAGGATGACACCTTTTGACCCAAAGGTTAGCCCCACTGTCACTGGTGACACACGCTATACACTGAAAAAAAGGGATTGGCCATATCTTGGATTTATGTAAGCATCTTGCGTGTATTCAACACAATTGCCTCATGCTTTAAAGTTAAGTGTAACTATATAGTGTAGAAACTACATGATATGCAGAGAGGGTAGATTAAATTGTTCATATGATGTTCGAGTGAAGTAAGTCAATAATATAGCAATGTTAAATCTCTCGCCACTGCATGTGATTTCATCTCAACAGCTTTGGATCGCGGTTTGAGGAAGGCATCCATCTCAGTCAAGTCGAGCAGCCGCCGTGGGTGGTTGTTACATTTACAAAAGTCTAACTTGTAATTTGAACAAAATAATTTCATGTTTCTGTGGTGAAGGTAACTAAATCATGTAGGATTTGTATGAACTTAATTTGTTCTTGTTGAGATGACATGATACAATCTAGTAAGAGTGGTTAGTTGCTGGACTCATGAAATTCACAAGATCACATGAGATTTCAAACTGCAGGAAAAATCACTGGAGTTATAAGAGGCAGACAACATACACCACACATATGTTATCGCTATTTATTGTGGTTTATCACAGCTTTCCTACCAATCCTGGATTGGTGGTGTGGTGGTTAGTGCTGTTGCCTCACAGCAAGAAGGTCCTGGGTTCAAATCTGCAATCTGGCTAGTTTGCACTGGGTTCTCTCTGGGTATTCTGGTTTCCTATCACATCACAGTTAAAAATCATGCAGTTATTAGAGTTAGGTTGATTGGTGATTCCAAATTGCCCATGAATGCAAATGGTTGTTTGTCTCTCTGTTTGATAGACTGGTGAGCTGTCCAGGGCGTACCCTGCCTCTTAAATCTATCACTTCAGGGTTACGCCCCAGCCCCCCTGCAACTTGGATAAAGATAGGCGGATGGCAGTTGTTGTAAATCCATTTCATTTTTATGTTAACCAGACTCTAGACTTTGTTGAACATTATGTAATATGAAGATAACATGTAGTATTTAAGTGACCAAGTAGTATTGGGGTAAAAGCTATTGACTAGTTTTGGAATAAAATGACGAAATCGTGAACGATTAAAATATTCCAAGAGTTCAACTTACTTCATCTAAACATGTTTCAATCATGTTTAATCAACACAAAATGCACAGGTTTATTGAATATGAATAAGTTGTGTTGATTTAACTAAGTTGTTTAAGTTTCTGCCAAAGCAAAACAGTTGTGTGCAACCGATGTCCATTAATGAATTAAGTAAATCCAACATGGTCTTTTTTCAGTGTATTCTGCATGAAAACAATAGGACAGAAATAGAATGATATTAAGGCTCATACAACCCCATACAGCAGGCTAGTACAGCTTCAGTCTGCGAGTGCAGACAAGACTCACCGTCCTCACTGTCAGTTCAGGCGGGTTGTCGTTGATGTCTGTAATAGAGATGAGGGCGGTGGCTGTGTTGGAGAGTCCAAAATTCAGGTTGCCCTCCATGTCAGTGGCCTGGACAATAATGGTGTACTGAGAGACTTTCTGTAAAAACAAGCAGGAAAAGACAAACGATAGTCATCAAATCCTTGTACAAACAGAAAGTATTTCTCCATCTCACACTGACACTGGAATGAAAGCCCTCTCAGCTCTTGTACATGCCTGCCCGACTATTTATTTTTATTTTTTTATTTACAGTAGTTGGTCAGCTGTAAACATTTATTCATTTACTGCTGACCAACTACTGGAACAACTGAGTAGCTGGAGTCTGCTCAAAGACTTTACCTGCTCGATACCAGATAGCGAGTAGCACACATGCACAAACAAAACACACAAAGTTGCAGAAAGGGAGCAATGCGTTGTTAAAAGGCCCATCCATTACTGACTAAAAGTCTTGGCTTTCTGCTGAGAGAATGGAGTTGGATCATCACTCATTTTAATGGTGGTGCTGCCACTTTAAGATGCACCACGGTGCTTTGGATAATACCAGAAGGTGAATGGGCCTTATTTCGTGCAAGCGGGTGTCACCCTAGAGTGCACTGCGGTAAAGACTGCTACAGTACAGTGCAATGACCAGGAAAACAAAAAGAAAAATCAAACACGAAGCTTTCTTTAGATACAAAAAAACCCCGCAGAGAGAATACATCCACACTGCAGCGACACTGTCCATGGTGCTGAAAGTTCAGACTGTCCCTAGACTCAGCACTGGAAAGAGGTCTCTGTGTGAGTGTGATTCCATCCTGACAGCATATAAGCCTCTCTGCGTTGTGGCTTTGCAGTCTCTTTCCCTTTTTATGAATCCACTTGGCTCAGGCCTCCATTGTGGGAGGAATGAACGTCAAGGACAGGGCACTGTTCGTTTCACAGGGCCTGCTGTGTTGCTGAAGATCCAGAATGAGTTCTACCAGTGCTCTAATGTTCATTTGTTGCTATGCTACCTTTACAATATGTGCTGAGGAAACAAGTTCTAGCAATTTGATGGCCAGTGGCACTTATGACAGACTCTTTGAAGGAACAAGAACAAACCGAGCCAGAGGCCGTGTAGCTATAGATAATGCAGTTACAGATTTCTGCTTAGAAAGCAGTTTCTTTACTTTTTAATTTCTTTGACTCATGTCCTCCCCACCCCGGTTTATTGTGTGTTCTTTGTTAATGCACACTCCCTGCTTCTTTTGATCTCCTCCTATCTTTTTTTGCTATCTTAGCTTGGTGTATTTTTTTCTGTCCCTGCATCTCTGCCAGAATCTCACACTATATCTCTACATTGCCTTCTCTCCCTCCCACTCTTTCTTTTTTCAATAGTGAAGGATGCAGTTGATTTTTAGATCAAAGCATTCAGACCCGTTAAAACAGCCAGCTGGAGTCATTTAGCATCTCTCCAAGTCATTATGAAGTGCACAGACATGTTAATCTGCACCAAACCAAGCCTATTAATGAAAACTCAATACTGGCTGCCCTTTATTAGACTCATAATGAAATATCAATACCATCTCCCCTCATACAGAGCTTCAGTAAATAGAGCATCCAATGAATGTGTCTCTCTGCAGACTCATTTAGATCCGGTCACATACATCAGTCTAGAAATAGCACCAGATGGCTGCAGGAAGCTAATAGGCTTAAGCTTTGATGGACGGTTCTTTCTTGGTCAGGTGAAGAAAAAAAAAGCCTGGACCTGAGCCAGCAGGTGGAGCTCTCAGACAGTAGCGGATGATGCTGATGCACTCTATCCTGCAGGGTTATATCACTCATCTGAGAGTAACTGTGAGTTTATGGCCCTGCTAGCGCGCACATCCTCATCTGTCCACATCCGCTAACGTTCCAGTGAGTGGGAACAGGTGGGACACTCAGACACTTACACGCTGGGCGTACACACACACACACATACACATGTAGGCACGCGCACACAGCCAAGCGTTTTCTGCTGTCCAAAAGTGGCTACCCAAAAAAAACAGTAAAAGGCTCTCTAATGAGTCCTATGGAAGCACTGAACAGAAAATCTCTCTGTTAGATTAGAGTCCAACACTGGCAGGAAGTACAGCTTGACCAGCAGCAACAGTCCAGACTTCCTTGCTGTTCTCGAGTGTCACTGACTTAATCTGCAAAAGCTTAAAACCATCAGAGGTCACCTGCACACAGAGCTCCGCCAACAACAACAACACTCAATCCCTTTTTTCACAGGGACCAAATTAGGTAAGTTTACTACTGTATATCGGAGCTTGAGGAAAGCAATGGCTTCAGGCTATCAATGTTAGCTACTCAACATGTCAAGCCAGGCAGCCATCAGGACAAGTGGAAAAAGCTGGCGGCTCTTAGGAGGCAAATGGTCCAGTGGGGCAATCTTAGCAAGAACAAAGTCGAGGAAAATCCTGGTCAGAACTGGGAAGGCAAGTGGAGAGGAGTGCTCCTCTAGCAACACACACGCAGTAGCGAACTGTCCCTGATCTGAGCGTGCAGTTTCACTCAGACATGCTGTGAAGGCACACTTAAAGAGGGTAAAGAGACCGCAACCAGATGAGTAAAGGACTTGCTTTTGTAAATGCGTCGTTTGCAGATTGTGTTCTGGCTTACCGGGCTCCCAGTGGCCAGGGTCATTAGCTTGTCACTTACAATCTGTCTCAAATGGCCCAGTACACGCCTAAAACTGCGAAAACCAGCTTCTGTCGTCCTTTGACTACTCTCTCCCAGCGACCACCTCAGCAACCCCCTCAGTGTCACTGAACCCCATTACAGTTTCCACTCAGTCCAGCTGACATCAATTAAATTTACACAATTTGATTTGATGCTGTTCGATTCCATTTCATTAGATTTTAGTTGGGTTCAGTTCAATTTGCTCCAGTTCACTTCTCTTACACCGATGCCGCTGAAAATCAGAGAAATCTATAGTTACAAGTAGACGTGCGGAAACTCGCAGTCCACACAGCTACTCTCCATTTTTACATTTTTCCCCTGTTAGTACCAAAAAACATGCATCTTATTCTCTCTTCCTCACTCACATGGAGGTCCCTCAGGTTGGTGTAAGGACAGGAACGGCTCAACACTGGTTTGAAGACACAAGCCAGCTGAGACTCACTGTCAGCAGCACACAGTGCAACACTGACTCAGGTACATGTTGGTACATGTGGGATATAATCTCTAAAGCTACTTGATTAGATATGCCTCCACATTTATGCAATCAGCGCAAATGCTCTGAGTCACAAATATAGCAATCTGCCAGACTAAAACAGATACTGAGCAAGAGGTTCCGTGAGTTGGGTTGCACAGGAAATCAGTTAAACAAACAGGAACATGATGCACGTGCTATTGCTAAATTTTTGGCTCCAACATGTTATAAACATATAAAAACAGTTTGGTAGAAATGTCATATTTACGGCTCTTTTTAATCTTATTTCCATGCTTATATCTTGTGTTTTGATTATTTATACTGTTTAGGTTTGTCTCTAATCACCTCTTTGTGCAAACAGGGCAGCGTGACTTAGGTGTGTTTGTGTGCTGAGAGAGTGCTTGTTTAGCTGAACAAAGCTGTGTGTCAACATCAAGGCTCGTAGCCGAATGTGAGAATTCAGTGCAAACTTTGCAAAATCGGATCTGCATATCACTTTCAGTTCGCCTTAGGTGTTTAGCTACACACTTATACCTGTGATCGGCACAGGCAGCGATGCACCCCCAGTGAAAATATCAGTGAGGAGCACGCCATACATGCAACTCAAATTTACCTTCAAGAGAAGGAAAAAGAAAAAGTCATCAAAATCCTCGGGACACATCATCTAGGAAGCATCAACGTCTGTAGTGTGCAAATCCATCTGACGGAGCTTGAGATATTTCATTACATGAGAGAAAACTCTGAGCTGCTGGCAGTGCCAGAGAAAATGTCAAGGGATCACCAAAGTCAGTTATCCCAGGAGACAATGGATATTAAAAAGACTTCACAACAATCCATCTAGCAGTTGTCAAGATATCTCAGTCTGGACCTAAATGGCGTCCTAACAGGCAGTCTGAAAAAGAGAGCAACACTTCCCAGTTTGTACTGGGCAAACACCTTTCATCTGAGTCTAGTCTTTCGGATATTGAGACTGTTTATTGATTCAACAAGAACGGATGTGAGAATATTTGGTTCTTCAATAAATCAGGAAAATCTACGGCTGGGAAATACAGAAACATTGTGGTGTGCAGTATATTGTTGACATCAACTAAACGTATTATTTAGTACAGGTTTAGCTAAAGATATTATGCACAGGCTTTAAGATGTGGGGCCTTTGGGCTTTTACTCTCTCAAATCATACTTTCATGGGGCAATTATTGGAATTCCTTATAATGTGTTAATATGCGCTGGGATGCTTCTCAGTCTCTCTAGTCCTCTTCTACCAATTGCAGCATTATATGGAAACAGAGAAACTGCATTTCTATTTCTCTCAAACGCCTTTTCTGTCTGCTTACAACCTGACTTTTTGGGGTAATGTGAGCTATATTGTACAGATGTGTAGGCCAGTGAGATTTAGAGATTTATCTCTAATAAAATTACCAAGACGTACAGACAAGTCCTGACAGAAGACTAGAGAAGCAAAGAATTGACAAATGTGATCCAGTTCAACACCGTGTTGCTCCACATAATAAAGCAGATAGTGAGCGGACCTGTTCTTGATTGAATGTTGACTACAAACTGTCAACATCTCCCTACACGCGTCAATACTTCTCATTCAGCATCCAGCTCACAATCCTCCGATGGCTTCACTTTCTGGAGCTCCAGAGCAAGAAGGTGAATTAACATAACTCAGCAACTCAGAGGCGATAAAGCTGTGGGACTATATCGGATGCCAGTTCTCAGCCTACATCCCCAGTTGGGCTTTGCAGATCCTAATGGAGCCAGGCTGTGGGCACTCATGTCCTTGAGGCAGTCCAGGCGATGTCCTAATCGACGTTGAGACGGTCCAATGTTGAGCTGGCATCTGGCAACTCAGCACCATGCCACACCAGACTGTTCCAACCCAGGGCTCATGGGAGACTGAGACAGCCTGGGGTAATGAAAGGAAACAGCTATGCCTGCCAGAGGAACTGAAGCCACGGGGAGAGGGCGCAAAGGGAGAGTGTCCGTGCCAGCTGTGGCACTCTGAAATGGCCCACTCTGCTACCTGCTGCATCTGAGCTGCACTTCATTAGAAGACCGTTTCTTCATTCATATTTTTTTTAGAACAGCATGCATGTACGAAACTGCAAGTGCCTTAAACCCAGTGGACGATGACATAAAAACATTTGTGCTTACTGTATTTATATTTAGCTCATGAGCCTGTGGGCAGGAGTGTGTGGAGGGTTAAGGGTTGTTGTGAGTGAAGCAGAATAATTGGTGTACAGCGGTGTCAGAGGCAGGTGATACCGAGCTAACCTCCCGTTCTCCTCAACACGAGCCGCCGCTTCACCTTTTAATTAGCACATGAATATCCTAATTAGATGCCAGAACCAGGGAAGAAGATTAGTTAAAGCGCGAGAAATGAGAATGAGAAATGGGCGGGGATATGCGCTGCGCAAACTGTTTATTCACTGTCAATACAAGTAGTATGAATGCCCATGACTCTGCATAACATCAGGTGCCTATACCACACTGGTTGCTCAGACCCCCCCGTGCAACACCTGGGATCTCATTCTTCTGCTTTCGCTGCTCCTCCTTACTCGGTATGAGTGGCATTGCCTATTTACGACGCGGGTGTATGCGCGCGTGTGCCCATGTGTCTGTGCTTGTTTGTGTTGATGACCTTGACAGCAGGTGGGTGAACTCCCAGGTGTGTCCTAGTTTTTTGTGGGAGGATCACAGGCAGGTGGGACTGTGCCTGGCTTGATGTGTCCAGATTAATGAGCTTTCCCTCACTCACATCAGCTGCTACTGCCGCAGCCTGCGCCAAGCTGGAAACAGGGACACAGACCTGGCCCGCATTCACTAGACTCATTTATATTGTCCCACAAATGTGCCACGCTATCATGCCGTGCCAGCTCCATATAAAAATTGGATAAGGAAGAAGCATTGATGTATTGTCTCTTCTGTTATCAAAACCTGCTTCTGTTCTTGATATTTTAACCATAATTATTCTCTAAATACGCTTGCTGTACTGCTGGTAAAATCCTGTTTTTCATTCTCAATGTATTGGCTGGCCAGGTTTAGCGCTGAGAGGGACCGGTGGGATTTCTCAGAATATAAACATTATGAGACACACTCAGTGGTGCTTTTATGCCGGCAATAAAATCAGCCAACTAAGTTATGGGGATGAGATTATCCCCCATAATGAAGGCATATGAATTTGAATGTTTTTGCCGATTTTTAGCACCGGTGTAGGGGATAGGTTTGAGCATTTGTGTTTGAGACAGTGTCTGCAACACGAAACGCCTGATAAAACGTGGCTGCCCATAGTAACCCGGTGTTGGGAAAAACAAAAGTTCACCCCCGGTGACCTTTCTCATTAGCAGGATAAGATGGAGGATAGCGCTGTGGTTTCGGTGGTGTGTGGGTTGGCAAAGTACCACAGCGAGCAACAGACACGGCAACAGCGGATCAGGCAAACGAAGGCAATGAAAAGAACACTCCTGCGACCTCGTCAGCAGAGAGGTGCTGGATTTACGCGCCCATTATGCCTGCCCTGCTCTGCATGCTGAGATACTTGCCGGTCATTTTTATTTACACACAATAAGCAGACACGCAAATGAATCAAAATTAATGAGGTAATTTTGTGCTCGGTTTGACATTTGTGAAAGGGGGAATGCGGCTGACTTGTTTTTGTTTTTTTTAAAGGTTTTGTTATAATCTGCGATTAAAATTAGATTTTGGGAATTTGCAGGTGGATTTATTTATTTGGGTCTTTATACATTTGTTTGTTTCAGAAAAAAAGCATAGTATGCATATAGAAGTCAAGGAAGCTCATTGTAAAAGTTAAGCAACTGTTAAACAACTAGTAAAGTCTAGTATGAACTTGTGCAAATCTGGATTAAACAATTGGCAAAATGGGATAACGTAGGTCTCGCCTAGGCCTGCATTAAACAACAAAGCCGCTTACCTTGCTATGTGGACTGAGTCTAGATCACACACTAAATGCCATTAAAAGTTGGGGATGGGATTATATTGCCTTACAAAAATGCACACAGACAGGAGGGGATGGTTGCCTTTCTTATTGCGCTATTTTTTAATGTGCTGCAATATGCTGGAGGAAGCACACACAGTCGGTGCCCTTGTAATATAATGGCTGCCTGCCACAACAAAGTGGAGGGCAAAAGGACATCCGCACAGAGCACTGTGTACACACTCTGATGATAAACTTTACATTACATGCACTCCAGTGGGCACCTCGTGTGCTCGCGAATGCTGAATCTTTATTACGTTGCTGTAATAAGTAGTGATAGTCTAATTTCGAGGCCCATCACTGTTCTGGGACTGTTTTTGATGAACACACAGAAAATTAGGTAGAAAAACAGATAAAGTAACAACATTTTATTCTTTAGTAGTATATAAGAATGTGACTCTAAACATGGACGCATAACATAACCGAACCTTCATAATTGTTTTATTGCGTGGACACAAATGAGATGCAGAGTGAATCCTCGATGTAAGTAACGGGAGCACAGAACACACAGCTTACACTGACCTCTCTGTCCAGGCCGGCTGCCACCGTAACAATGTCTCCAGTCTCACTGTTGATGGTGAACATGTTGGGGATGGGGCTGTGGGGGCTCTGGGAGAGGATGCGGTAGCGCACCATGCCGTTCGCTGTGGTGGAGTCGTCCGAGTCTGTGGCGGTAACCTGCATCACAGACGAGCCTGCGGAGAGAAAGATTCAAAACTGTAGCGGATATACGCGTTATGCTGGCTTGACTAGAAGAGGTCAGGCTGGGAAAAAGAAAAAGAAAAAGTAAGCAGGCATACATTAAAATAAAATTTTTAAAAAAGGGCTTTTCAAGTGCCTTTGTTTGTTAAAGATTTTTTCTGAAGTATCAAAGAGAAGGAAGTCGGGCATGTGAAGACTCAGAAGACACAAAAACTTGAAACAAGTCAATCAAGACTTTCCAAATTGCTGTGGCGTACTGTTCTTTGGCAAACATCTTTTAGAATCAGAGCTATTACAGAGCACAGCACAAACACACAAACAAAACCTGTTAAATAAGCTCCCATTTTAAAGCTGCGCTGTTTGGTGGTCTATATATTTCAAACTAGCGGGGCAAAGTTTCCACCTCTGCAGAGTCCATTTAGTAATGAGCACCGGGTCTTCTGCTACTTCCACCATCCATTATTTCAGCCTTCGGCAGCGCTGTCGCTGCCCTTAATGCTTCAATACACTCTCCCTATTTGTCTTAGAATCACAGATAAACACTGCCATTTAAGCCAGACAGCACAGAGGTAGAGAGGCAGAGGGAGTGCTCACGAGGATGTGTGCAGGAAGGGTGTGTATGAGCCCACAGTTCCTTCCAGGCACATGTATGCATTAGTATGCATGTGCGTGTTTGTGTCCTCTCAGCATGTTTCAGGGTGAGAGGCCCTGTGTCCCTGCATCTTCCCCGAGCAGAATTATTGATTTGCACGAGTTTGTCAGCTGGGCTCACAAATGTGACCAGGCAATTAGGAGCACTTGGTGCTGGAAAGAGGAGAGATCACCTCGCCTCCCTCTCAGGGTTCTGTGAAAATGTCACTTTCCATCAGGCAGCCATTTACAGGCTGCTGCTGCTGCCGTTGCTGCTGCCGCTGAGAGAGAAAAAAAAGGCTGTCAGCTTGCAGGAGGAGAAAAGCAGAGAGAAGAGATGGCTGAAACACAAACATGGTTAAATGAGAAGAGCGTGTAAGTAGTGGAAAACACAAAGCGAGGAGGACAAGGACAAAGGAGCTGAAGCGTTAAAAGAAATGAAGGAAGAGTGGTGATGCGTTTGGCGTGATGCACGCGGCCTAATTTATTGACTTAATATTCATTTAGATTCTTTTAAAAACATGCCACTGCTTTCATGTGAGGGGGATCAAAAAAGTAGCTTAGCGACTAATCTTACCTCAGTGGGTTTGGTGGTGGGTGGTCGGTGCCGTGCTGAGCAGGCACTTAATCACAAATGTTCAACTGTCATATCAAAAGTGAATCAAACTGGTCACGTGTCACGTATGTTCTAAAGCAGAAGTAGAAACACCAAGCTTGACTTGGACTCTTTCCAAAGCATAAATTTAAATGTTTCAGCTGAAGCTGGGAAGCCGCCGGATCGGTGGCAGATTCAGCGGTCCCCTGTGGGTCTGAGCCGTTACAGGTGTCTCCATTCCTGTAATTGGGTCTAGATGGCACCATCATTCCTGTGACACCGTGCATGGACGGGATAATTGTAGCCTCGATTTCTATTTCAAACTTCATTAATTTTCAAAGCAGGATTTGTCACGTCGAACAGCAAGGAAAAGAAGAGAGGCCGCAGAAAGACAGGAAAGAGGAAACAATGAGCGATATTCCACCGAGGGGCATCGGTATATAATCAGCCTCTGAAGCCTTCCACACAAGAACAGGACCAGAGAAATCACATGTTCACACGTGAAGCTTTCATTTAGTCATATGATGATTGCTGGCTTTCAGAACCAAAAAAGGAAAGGCTATGGCTGAAAGGGTTAAACTCTGAGCCTGCTTAATTCCGATTTAATTTGAACACTAATACCAAATCCTAATTGCCTTCCTGCTAAAATCGTTGGACCTGAAAATTTGGTAGCAGGCGCATATATTGTTGGCCATTCCAATCACGTGACCAGAGATCACTGGTGAGGTCTATCTGCTGCCTAAACATTAATCAGTCCGAGTCAACAGCCGACTTCCAATTAGGGAGAAGACGGAGTTTAAAAAAAAAAGAAAAGAAAAAGGGAAAAGGAGGATAGAGATGGACAGAAATAGCAGGACTGGCGAGGTGCACACAAAGACAGGCAGGAAAGGTGGAAACTGCAGGGCATAAAACGAAATAAAAGAGGAGCGTAGTGGTGAGAGAGTTTGTAAAGACCACTAAAAGAAAAAAATAAAGGGGAAGTCAGGGAGCGAGAGGGCAGGGGATGGACGATACAAGAGGATAATAATTCTAATCAGTGGAGGGAAGATAGAGGTTTCGTTTCAGCAGCAAAGAGTGGCTGCTGTACAGTACAGGAAGTGCAGGCAGAGAGCCAGAAGGAGAAATAGAGGTTGAGAGGTAAGGAAGGTAAGAGAGAAGCCTTAAGCCTGGTGAATCTTGGCGGGAGTGATGAGCAGGGCTGGGAGTTTTCACACAAGAGCCTCTAATGGTGTCCACAACACTTTGAGGAGACGGGGAATTCAGTCCAACCATTTGAACCATTCAAAAATATTTTCTTTGTCACAGCACATCAGCCGTGTCTGCTGATCTATTCCTGTCGACTTTCATCCAGGACCACAAAGGCAGAAGCCTGTGCTCATGTGAAGGACAGGCAGCAAAGGCTGCTCATTATGCAGGCGAGCAAGAGAATAGCAAAGTGGAGGGAAGTTATTTCAGGCGTCCAGGGATCCAGCTGCAAAAACAGTCAGATTCATTCTCTGAATGCACACTGGTGAGATGTCAGTAAGAGTACTTTCAAAGCTTGGATAGCTCCAAAAGTGTCCTGGCTGAATCATGTGTACTAATAACGGCTGCATTAGCTGGCTCTCAAGAGGAGCACCACACTGATTTTACACATGGAGATCAGTTAACCTGTCATTGTGAGAACTACTTAACCCACAAAAACAGTTGCATATTTTTTTTCTCTCTAGCAGAGCAAGATGATGTCATCGGGTTTATATAAACTGGTACTGTGAGAAAGCTGGGTGTTTAAAACACAGGTGGGTAAAAGTGGGAGCTGTGGGATCCTGTTCCATCCCACTCTGCTGTTTAAGGTTTGGTTTTTCTTGCTTTTAGGTGCTAATTATTATTTTCTAATTGTTTACACCTGCCATCTCATCCTGTCACCACGTTTCCTGCTGGTGCTGTCACCTCCGCTGTTAGTCCCTCCTGTGTCACTCTCCTCTCACACTCTACCAGAGCTTTAAGAAATTATGTCCTGTCATCATCTCCCTCACCATCAGGGATCGTGCAAGTCTTTAAATGCTGCACAAGGAATCAGGGAGCGAGACCGCGAGCCAACATGAGGTCCTGCAAAAGAAAGCGAGGACACTACTTTTGTGGAAATCTTACATCAATGCCACACACCTCCACATGAGGCCAGAGACTGTATTTATATATTGCTTTCACTTTTTTCTTACTTTGTAGTGTACAAGGATACACAGATCACAGCTCAAAGCTATTGTGTGTGTGACAAATCTTACACAGGCACAGTTTATCCTTATGTAACAACAATTCAATTAGGAAGTTGAAAGAAATTATTACTTATCCACACATTAATTTGTTACATTACTATTAATAATAAGTCACAGTTATTCAACTTAATATCTAATGAGTAAAGAATTATTGCATTTTGTAGAGAGCTCTGTGGTTACTTGTACCAGTCACTGTGACAGGTGATCCGGCTGTGCAGCATGACATTAATAAGCGATGTCATTTAAGATCAGCAGTATGGAAACAAAGAATTTCTCTTCTGGCGGCGTTATCGCTTCTCTTTGCATCTCCTTCTTGCACCTCTCTCTCATCCTTGCTGGGATTAGTTAAAACGCGAAGAAGAGATGCAAGTGAGTAAAGAGAGGAGATGTGTTAGCGTACTGAAAAGGGCCCTTTACGTTCCCCTCGCTCGGTGCCAGTCTCAGTACCTTTGTGTCAAGTGTTTCAGCCTTGTGTTCTCCAGGAGGTAATTTGACCTAGTTACTAGTGGGTTTTTTTGACTCTGCCTTTTCCCATTGTGTGCGTCTGTGTGTGTGTTTTTACATACCTTCCTGCCAGATATCTGGACTGATTTGTATGTACTGAGCCTCTGCTTCAAGTTAAAATGTTTCGATTCAATCGGGCTTGTGTTACAGTTCTTGGCACGAGTGTAAGAGAGCTAGCACTTTCTCAGCTTGATCCATTCTGGTTAAAGGTCAAGTAGTCTTTGACAAAGCGTTATAAGAGCTGCTGCTCACACGTCATTAATCTTTACAAACTGCAATACATTTCATTACAAGTCAAAATAAACAAAGCCGTAATTTAAAAACTGAAAGCGCCTCTTGTGACTCTGAAGGCTTTTTATTCACTGCAAACACACATAAGAGATGGTTTATGGGTAACAGATTGCAGATGCATGCACGCCCTGAATGTCAGAGAGCTGTGCGGTCGATTAAATTACAGCGGAGATTTTGACTTGAAAGAGAAAAGACAAACAGTATGTTTAAGAATCTGCTTTAGGCTCAGGAGCATCACACTATTTGAAGCCAGCGGCCATCCCACCTGGTTGGAAAACATAACATATCAGAGAAGCAGCCGAAAGCTGACGGCTGCAATATTACAAAAGAACACCAAGGAAATTTGAGGTTTTAGGAGAATGTTTATTAGTCTGGCTGAGAGGCTGAAACATGTTTCTTGTGTTCAAGTACAAAATGATTTTAGAAGAATTTTTTTTTACCCATAGCTAGTTTCTGAAGTTAAAATTGAATCTCTACTACACATTCCTGTTTTACCAGTTTGTAAGAACAAACTGGTAAAACAAATAAAACGCTATGTGACACAAACTGTCCTTTTTTTTAAGGCGGAAGTGCTAACCGCAGGACCTCTGTGTCAATAAAAATTCACGTGACCCTGATGTATTCTCTGGAGTGGCACTGTAAACCTCCGCCTGTGGCCAGTAGGGACCACAGTGTGATACACACCCCAAAATTGACTGAAACACCACTGAGCCCCAGCACT